GTTTTTCTATGAAGAATTAATAATTATTCCTTAATAAACATAACGGCTTAGTATATTCAGTATTCATATAAGATTTAAACAATTATAATAAAGATATACGGGAGTACTATACAATGAATAAAACTACTTAATTCCTGGCATTTCAAGTGATCTCTTTGATAACAACTTAGTAATAATAATAAACTGGTTGCCAAATTGTCTGCCAAGTGTTACATCTATGGAAAATGTACACCTTATACGATAACCTATGAAGGCCTATGTTTACCAGTAGCTTTATGATAGTCTGTAATGAATGAAACATAATAATAAATTATTTTTATAATATTTTTTTTTTAAGTTAATGGCTGAAGTAAATGAGGAATTCTATTATTTTAAATGATTAATTGTCAGCATTATTTTATGCACAATCGCACACCTCTAGTCTTAATAATTACAAAATTGAGGTTGTCTGAATGACAATGACAAACAATCTTTTATGTTTTTATTTCAGATGATACAGTTCAAATAAACTTAGTGTGATATTTGATCAGCCATCATAAAAAAGGTATGAGGAATAATTTTGCTGTCAAAACACATAATAACTGATGGAAACATATCAAAATGGCAAGGTGACGTGTACTAAACAGACTGCAAGTATACTCAATTACGCTTGTTTCATAAACTAAATGAAGAAAATGTGATTCCCAAAGAAGTAAAAAAAAAATTAAGGTAATAATCATGTAAAATTTATATTGCAAAACAATCGCCATTTTAAAACTTTAGTTCAGATAATATTTTTATTAGGATTAGTAATATGTTTATATTTTTAAACACATCTAATCTCTGTCTACACCACTGAAATAAATGAATTAATGTTAATTCCAATTTTAAGTGCTAATTTATCATGTTCTGGAACATTGTGACAAAATCTGTGTGTCTAAGGAATAAAAATATTTTAAAGATGTAGTCTACCAATAAGCACCTTGCCCAACTCATTGTTTCATACACCTCTGAGATATGAGACAAGAGTCTGTGACCAGCAGTAGAACATGAACATAGACTCCAATAGATAATTGGCTACTTTACAAATACTTTTATCCTCCCAACTTTCTATCAGAAATTGCTATAGTGTACTTAATTATCTTAGGTATCAATGATAATTATGTTCAAAAATTATTGGAAATTTCTGTATAATTGTGAAATCTTCTTAGATTTATGTGAAAGTAACTTTGTCTGATTACAATCGCCTCTTCTTGTCTTGACATTTTCTATGCAAACATTTGTAAACAACAACAATTACAATTAGCGAACATATTCAAAGTTAACTACTTGTAATATAAATATTTAAATATTCTTTTTTCCAGCTCAATACACAGGATATCGAATGTATTGAAGAGAACCTTTCCACTCAAAATATTCAAGTGCGAGCAGCAAGAGAGCAATTAAATGTTTACTCTATAGCATATACCACAGATGGGATTCAGAAAGGCACGGACATCATTAGAATCGAAAAGCGTACATTGCCACCAATGCAAAAAAAAGCCTTAAACGATTATAAAAAAGTAAAAAAAAATCATATAATAAATTAAATATACAATGCATTTTATTTCTACGAATCCTCATTATTCGTAATAAAATAATAATAATAAAAATAGTAATTAAAATTATATATATAAAAATATTATATAGATATAGGTACATACCTATATATATATAATTATACTAGGCTGAAATAAAATTATTCCTTTGCCTATATCCAATTCATATAAAAAAAAATGTCATGTTCTAATTTGCTGTTTAATACGGTCCAAACTAAGTGTACCAGAGACGTCCGTCTGAACCGTAGATAGAGGATTACTATGTCTATGGTCTGAACGCGTAGTGTTAGGGGTGTCCACTATGAAAATACATCGATGTATTTTTTCGATGTGATGCATCGAAACTGTGCATCGATATATTCCGATGCATCGGTTAAAAACATCGATGTTTTTTCAACATCGAGTACTTTTTCTGACTTCAAACAACCGACAATTTTGAATGATCTACTACTCTTACATCAGTACTGTCTGCCCGCACGCCTTTCGTGAGTGTGTATGTGTGTTCAAGGATGTTAGTTCGATAGATAGATATTCTTAATTGCATGACACACAAAGTGTCTTATTCGTAAGAACTAATATATTGTTAACAGACGTAAATATTCATAGTTATTTATTTGTATTATTTATATTTGTATGTTGATGTGTATATATGTATGTATACGTCTGTATGCATATATTTGTATATATGCATAAATAGGAGATATTTCTATAGTATATTTGTTTTATATATTTGTAAAATTAATAAATAACTTAGTTAATTATCATTTTTATTTTGTTATTATTTTATACTGCTACACCTACGTCAAATTCTCGTGGGTTGACTGGTAGATTTTTTTTTGTATTATTCCCTTTGTATTCTTTTATATCAAGGAATGCAATAAAGAATAAATAAATTATTATTTATGATCATTCACCTACTACTAAATGGACGGCGGATCTAGAACAAAATTCACGAAAAATGTGTCCCGAGTCAACCTATACAAACGTATTATATATATAATTTTACTTGCGACAATTTATCAGCCTTTTAACTTCAACAAGAGGCTGCATTCTTTTCGCCTTATGAAGCTTCTAGCGAAAAAAATCGGTATGGTTTTTTGTTTTTACAATTAATGTGAATTTTAATTAAATACTACGTATATTGTATCTAAACAAAATATTATTTTTAAATTATTAAATATTAATAGTTTAATATACTTAAATAGTATCGAAAAAATATATAAATAGTTTTGCTCGTTTTGTGATACTGTACGGCAATTTGGAGTGTATTATCGGGCGACAAAACGAAGACTGGCGTTCAATTCGAGCTCTTTTTGCATTTTGGAACTCTTTTGGCTCGGACACTTTTGAGCGCATAGCCGAGGTCCATTTAGTAGTAGGTCAATGTTTATGATATTATTTTGAATGATAAAAAATGATACATTCACAATAAAAATACTTACATATGGAATACAACTCCATCTTTTTGTACAACTTTAAGTATTTGACTGCTTTATGCACACGTTAACCGCACCGATTGGCATTTTTCAAAAAACACCTACTTCTTATAGGGATAAAAATCTAGTGCGTTTATAAAAACGATTCTGTAAGCAGGTTTAATCAACGCACAAGATTTTTAAATCCAATACTTTGGCAGAGGGCAATAATCATGCGAGGCGAGTCCACTGTGTTAATTTTTTTTATAGGATAAGTGTGACAAACGAGCACACAGTCCACTTGATGGTAAGTGGTTGCTGCGGCCCATAGACATCTACATCTATCCTCTGTTACAAATCAAAATGTAGATGCGTTGTCACTCGTTAGGACTAAGATGGAATGCCTCATTTCCAGTAAAAAGGGCCTCCGGCCACCTGCACTCACCAAGCAAAACGCAGAGGTAAACCTCTACTTCACGCTGGTTTTCTGTGAGGTCGTGGTACCACCCCGGTTCGAGCCGGCCCATCTGTACGACAGCAAAAGCTGCCGTGTGGCTCTACCACTGTTTAAAAATATAAATATATATAAATGGTCTAAAGGCGTCAACTCACTTGCCTGCCGCAGGGGCAATCTAGGGTGTAGAAGTGGGGATCACCCTTAATTTCCTCCTTAATTGTGATGTGTGTATGAAAGCAGGGTTAATTTGCTAAGACGGCCCTGTGGCTGGGCGGCAGGGGCGCAAGAACTTCTTTGCTCCCTAGATCATAGCTACCGCTGCCACGTGTGTAGCACCATTGGAACAATTTCAATCAGTTCGTTAGTGACTTTCGCGCGCAGCACACTTCACAATAGATATCAATAAAACATGTGAAATTTGGATACTGGTGATAGAAGTGTATAAACAGCGGCTTCTTCACCCATTATCTCCTTTTTGTTTTTTTTTTTACGGCAGCACCGCAAAAGCAACGTTATTTGAACGTTGTAACGTTTTTAAACGTGGTAGAGTCATGCTGCAGCTTTTAAGGACTGTGTTATGGTTGTAATTATTAATTAATTAGTTGTTTTATCAGAAATATGGGTGTCTATGGGCCACAGTATCTCCTTAACATCAGGTGGACTGTGCTCATTTGTCACCCTTATTCTTTATAAAAAAAGAACCAAGGCTATATTTACAGATTCATTGATATTTCGATAAAACTAGCGCCATTCTCAACGCATGTGTCAACCGAGATGTACACTTTCATACTGAACGGCAGGCATGTGTATAGAGAGACAATTCTGATACTGTCCCGATCGCTGTTCATCCTAGATTGCCCAGCGGCATGCAAGTGAGTAGCCGCCTTAAAACCGAGACAGACCAGACGATTTTTTTTCTATTCTATTTAGCACAGTGTTTCCAACCAGCCAATTTCTTGATTTCGCTAAGGACTGACAGCTGCCAAGTAGCACCACCAACAGGTTTAATATTATACCTTCTAAATCAGAGCGCTGTTTTTCTGAGTTAGAAGTTATAATATTAATAGTGATATAAGTATACCCATTTTACCATTGGATGGTTATCATTGATTCGATGTTTTATGAAAATACATCGATACATCGAGTGTATCAATAACTTTCCAAAACATCGGATCGGTTCGATGCATCGTATTGTAAACATCGAGTGAATTCGATGCATCGATGTATATCGAATATCCCTACGTAGTGTTTCTATATAGTTTGTGATTGTAATTTCAGGCTCAAAAGGGCAGAACGCAGAGCCGTAAAGCCACTTATAAAATAAAAGAAAATTTCAGACAGCTAATTAATCAAATTCAGATTCAGATTATCAAATAGCCAAGTAATAAAATCAAAAACCAGTACATAATAATATTTACAATCTATCTTAGGAATTATTTAAATATTCAATATATAATTTAGAATAATGATGTAATTTTGAAACCTTATTCTACTACATCTACATCAAGTACCTCTGTCCATCAATCAGTTATTTTCTTATTGAAATTAAAAATGCAGTTAGAGGTGGCTGAAGCGGCTTCAGACAGATTGTATCCTGCTCTGTTTCAGTGTTTTACTATTATTTTAAGTGGGTAAGTTTCAGGTTAAATTTTTTCTTACTCTTGCTCCTTGTGTTCCTTTAATGAATTTTATTTCTTTGAATACACATTACCAATGTATTGCATATATGGTTTGAAGTTCCGGTATTAGAAGTTTTAAAACCAGACCATCACAAGTGCAGATTACTGATTGACATTTTTAATTTTTATTATGTTTCAGGTTTGAATGTTTCTTCAAAACAATAACTGAAAAATTAAAATAAGCACTTAAAATTGTACTCATATATTTAATTGGTGCAGTCATTCACATATTATGATAAATAAGAGTAGCCATCCTTTTTAAAACAAAGCTTACATTTGATTATTACCTGCTTAATTATTTTTTATAACTTAAAACCATCCATCCATCTATTACAGTCTCTTAAAGTTCTCTGTTGAATATAGACCTCTCCCTTAGATTGCATCATAGGGATTTGGCCATAGTTGCTATGCTTGGCTGGCAGACCACAGTTTTTTATTATTTTGAGTTATCAGGAAGATGCTGCTGCCTATTTACTATTGCAGTTACTTTCTGTCGCCTCTTACAACACCCAAGGGACAATACGGTCTAGTGGATATTCTAATACCACTAATACTAGGTTGATTACCTATTTATTGATATTTTTCAAATAATAAAATTAAATAAAATTTATTATGTAGTATCTGGGCAACCAGGCTTTGCTTGAAAGAAAAAAAATAAAAGAATTCTACTGGGTAAAACCTATCTAATCTAAATAAAATTTGAAAGTAAAACAATAACTAAATGCAAAATTTCATGAAACAGTTAGAGCCCTTTCCGTATGACCAATAACATCTACAATGCAATTCAAATAAGAATAGGAATGTCAATGACTTGAATCAAATGACTGTGATCTGTCAACCGGCACTTAAAAAGTTTTACTTGCAACGAAAATTAATTTTCCATTTATATTTATTTAACTGGGTCTTAGTATCACCAAATCTATTTAAGAAGTCATAATTGGTTTGGTCACTATTAGCTACATTATGCCAAAAAGTAAATTATTATAAATTAAACTATTTAATAAAAAACAATTCATTTATTATAGCCCTTCACAAGTTCACTGCTGAACAAAGGCCTCCCACAAGGAACACCATAAAGCATAGTTTCCCGAATGCTGCCCAGCCTTCAACTCGGCTGGGCAGCATTCGGGAAACTTGGTCAAAGTTGGACTTATCTAGCCGGACTATTTGTCCCAGGTAAACATACTCATCAACAACTTTGAGCTTAATGCTCCCAACAACTACTGGCATAGGTGTGGTATGGATGTTACACATGACTTTCATTTTGTCCATGTCCATCATAAGAGCTATCCATTGGGAGACACTATTGAGGATATTGAGCATAGTGCTTAGGTCCTCCAACGATTCTGCCATAAGGACAATATCGTCGGCAAATCTGAGTGATGTACTCGCCATTGACGTTAATACTATATCCTTTCCAGTCCAGTAGCTTGGCAATGTCTTCCAATGCAGCGGTGAAGAGTTTCGGGGATATTACGCCACCCTGTCTTTCATCTCTCTGCAGTTGGATAGGTTTTGTACTCTGGTTCTGTGCTCGGATAGCCAACGTAGCCCTACTGTACAACTTCGATGTACGGACAGTCAACTGGGCACCGCTGAAGGGACTGCAGCACCGCCCAAATTTCGACGAAATCAAAGGCTTTCTCATAGTCCACATACGCAAGACAAAGTGGCAGTTTGTACTCTTCGGTCTTCTGTACAATTTGACGAAGGGTATGTAAGTGGTATATGGTGCTAAAGCCTTTTCGGAAACCGGTTTGTTTGGGAGGCTGGAAGTCGTCGAGTCTGCTTGCGAGACGATGCGTGTGACTCTCGAAAATAGCACGTAGACGCGGCTCAGAAGGGAAATCGGTCTCTAGTTCTTCAAGAGAGCGTTGTCGCCTTTCTTGAACAACAAGACCACCGCTTTTCTCCTCTATGAAGTAGTGCTACAATGGAGGATGGAATTAATGAACTTCTGAAGGATTTTAAGTTCCAGTTTTCCATCCGCCTTCAGAAACTCCGATCTAATTCCATCCTCGCCTGGGGACTTGCTGTTTTGAAGGTGCTGGAGTGCCATTCTAATTTCGCTAAGTCTGACGTCCAGGATATCATCGGAATGGTGTCGGACAAGACTTGCTCTTGGATCGTTATTCACACTTGCGTGTGGCTCCAACAATGACGTGTGCAGCTGCCCATAGCCTCTCAATCTCACTCAAAATCTCAGGTGTCCCGGAAACGATGCTGCCATATTCGTTCTTTAGCTTCGACAGTTAGTTCTTTCTGGCAGACAGATCTCTGGCAAAGACTTTGGAGCCCCATTTCCATTCGATTGCTTCTTCAATATGAGCTGAATTGAAGTTGCGTAAGTCTCGAAGCATGCATTTGGAGATCTCTTTGTTCAGTTGCCTGTATACTGTTCTTCTGCGGCGGGTCTTAACGAACTTAGCTCCGACCGCATGGACAGTTTCCACAAGCTTATCATTTTTTATCTTCCTCTTTATTGCAGTTTTCTAGGCACTGAAAACCATTTTGTAACTCGAGCTGAAAGTTTACGGGGTTTTGAATTAGAGCACGAGGTGGACGGAGCGTTGACTTCATTAGACATGACCTCTCCAACTTAACATTAAGGTTAAGTGTGTCTCACCACTCAGTGATCACTGCCAGTTTTCACCCTTGTTATCACTGAGACATTAATGAACAGTTGTCATCTAGTCATCAAAATGAAGTCAATCACATTTTTTGTCAAACCGTCCGTCGAGCAGGTCCACCTCCTGTGGTATGGGCTTCTGGAAGAAAGAATTCATCATAAAGAGTCCCCCTTTCTCCATAAAGTTGGTCAGCTGCTGGCCCCTTAGGTTCCGTTGCCCTTTTCCTAATTTCCCTTCTTTCAGCTCACCATTGGAGGAATGCATGGCTCTTGAGTTATCTTCATACATTTCCTTCACCTTTTCATCGGGATGTGCCGAGGTTGGTGCGTAGACCTGTATGACCTTCAGCAACTGGTTGGTGATTCTGAGTATAACCCTCGTTGACACACTTCCAATCTTTACAACATTGTTATCGAGAGATTTGTGGACAATAGATCCGACATCTTGGGAGAGATGGTCGCCCTCCCGGTGATAGAACAAGTTGCCAGATTCGAGGATTACCGTGTCCTTCCCCTCTCTTCGGACCTCGGATCCTATAATATTCCAGTACTACTTGTCTATCTCTTTCCAGCTCCAGGATCTTCTCGTCAGTCCTCAGGGTGCGTACGTTATATGTTGCCAGGTCGAATCGTCTTAGGTGGCAACCGAACATCCACCGGAGATTCTTAACACCCCCTGCCCCGCTGTTACGCCATGGTCGCCAATGTAACCAGAAATAGTGGGGCCGCCGGGGACTGGGGGCCGCATATTTGTGTCGTTGCTCATGGGGGTATTTTTATTTTATTTTATTCGGTAAAACTTACAGCAATTTCTTATAATTAAATAAAAAAATATAATAATATACTATTAAGCCATTTACAAGTTTCCACTTTTAGAATTAAAAATAAAAATTATAAACAAAAAACAGTTCAAAGGTAAATAAACTAGTTAACAATAGGTACCTTAAAGTTAAAAAGCTATGTGTATTATGAATATTTTAAGAATTAATATAAAAATTTAAGAAAAATATTCACCGGTTAAGGGACTGTTGGCCACACTCAGGGAAGTATTAAATGGATCAATATCAAAGTTAAGCGAGTTTATAAATTTAGAAGTTCTAATCATGAAAGAATTACGTCTATAGTTCGTATGAGCTCTGTTTATGTAAAGAAGTTTGCGTTTCCTCTAATATTACCATAGTCGCCACACTTGGCGAGTGGATTGGCAACCGCAGTTTTTTATTCCTTTTTGTTATTACAAAAATGCTGCTGCCCATCTTCTGCCTCAGTTTCCCTCTGTCGCCTCTTACGACACCCACGGGAAGACATGGGGTAGTGGGTATTCTTACGTGCCACTACACAGTTTAACAAATTAAATTTGTCATGGAAGTGCTAGATTCAGATTTAAACTTTTTTTCATGGTTCTCTTGACCTTTTCGGTTCATCTGTAAATAAATAATATTTCAAAAACATCTGTTTTGCTCACCCTACCTAACTGGTTTAAATTGATAGCTATAATGTCACAATATGGTGCCAGGTCAGTCCTATTCTTATTTGAATCACATTATATGTATTATACAAGAATTGCTTACCTAATGTTAAGAATTAGGTTTGACTCCTACAGAATGCCAAAAGGTCCACATAATATTTGGATGGTTTCATCATTTAAATTTATTTATTTATCTATTTTCAAATTAAATAAATGTTTAGTCATTTAATTTTTTTTAGGTATATTGCTGGCAGACTCAATGTTGTTTCAAAATCTGAATCCAAAGGCATTGCAACATTTGTTGGCACTTTTGCTCTGCCATCACTTATATTTTTATCTCTGGCCCAACTCAACTTCAGTATTGTAAATTGGACATTTTTGCTTGCAATGTTATTAGCAAAAGGGATTGTATTCTTTGCCGTTGTGGTAATTACTATATTTGTTTCAAAGCCTATGAATTTGGGACAAGCCGGAATGTTTGCTATATTTTGTACACAAAGCAATGATTTTGCTTTAGGATATCCAATCAGTAAGTTATGTTCAAGTTTTATTTTGTATTTTGATCATGTTCTAGTTTTAAATTGCTAACCACATCATAAATATAATATAGAATAGAATAGAATCATTTTTATTCAAGGGTTGGATTTAGACTCGTTTGGCACGAATTTGGCGGAGTAAGGTGTTTTATTTGGTAGAGATTTGGTCCCCGATTATAATAATACCACTCACATTAAAAGGTAATGCACCGTTATCGAAAAAATAAACAAAAACTATTATAACCTAAAATGCGTAAAACATAGATTTATTACTGTGAAAGCTGGATAGCATACAGAATTTTGTGTAAGTGTGACAAGGACGTAAAACTACTGTCACATTATTCTACTGTCTATAGTCTATACTCTCTGTCAAGAGATATTTCGCTGAAGACAACTATAATAATAGAGAAAATTTTACCGACTTGATGTATGAATATTTATGGAAAAGAGAAATTATAAGGAATGCACTTCAGCACTTCCCGCAGCGCCGAAGCCATTGTAGAAGTAACTTTGGGTCAATATTCCTGTGTAAAAAAGTGAGGTTAAAATTTTACAAAAAAACATTAGTCATAAAATATACTTTTCCACAACGAGGGAAAGGTAGAGGAGCTTTCTCTAATAAGACACTCCTGCTACCCTCTTCCCCCTCCTGCCGGAGACGATAAATGTTACTTTCGGGTTATATCTATGGGATTTTCTTTTTGGTTTTTCTCAAGAAATGTGTATTACCTTTTAATGGGAGTGGTGTCGGGAGTAAGGGGACGCTCCCCCCCCCTTTCCCTCCTCTCAACCCCTGCCCCCTCCTCCTGCCAAACGATTCTTAATTTCAACCTTATTCAATATTGATTACATGTTATTCTTATTGAAAGTCATTTTTAACTGTTACTACTGGGAAGAACCAGCAAAAACCCAGTGGGACTTTTTTTTAAAGCATAATAACTTACAATATAATACAGTTGTTATGAAAATATATAGAAACAACATGGTAGCAATCAACTCATTCCAAGGGGTTATTATCAATCATGTACTCTTTAGTAGTATAAGTTATTAGTATTAATAACCCTTACATAAAAATTTTTGCTTAATAAATATTTTAAATCTTTTGATAGATAAGGTCTGATGTTTTAATATTTTTGTATATATAAATAAATAATAAAATATTTTCAGTCAATGCTATTTATCAAAATACTCATCCAGAATATGCACTGTACCTTTATTTGATGGCTCCTATATCTCTTGCTATACTTAATCCAATTGCTTTTGTCTTGCTGGAGATTAATAAACAGAAACAAGATGATACAAATGAGGATGGAAACTTACAAAATCAAAAGATGTACATACTAAAGTTGAAAATGCTGCTTCAAATTTTGAAAGGAATTATTTTTAATCCAGTGTTAGTGATGACAGTCCTTGGCATAATTGGTAATATAATTTTTAAGCATAAACTGTCCATTTACATTGAAGGGCTCTTAGAGGTAAGATTTTTTATATTTCATATAAATATACAGCCTGACAATATGTAAATAAAACCCTGTCTAAGGTGTGAGGGTGCTGATGTGTTATGATTATTTTCATGTAATCCTTTTCAGAGAATGAGTAAAAAATTATGCCACAATAATTAAAATGAAGTTTACACGCGTAATAATACTGCAACATGTTCAACAATAGGAAGATATTAAAATATTTATGATATAAACACTTGATAATTTTTGCTAACTATTCTTAAAAGCCGATATAAATATAATAATGTCGTTACAGTGGTTTTATGCCTCTCTTTAGGATCAGACAGGTGTTTTCTTTAGATAATATTGTATGTTTTCATAATATTGCAGCTTTAACTTTACTTATTAACATTCCTCTGTGCGTGTAATAATCTTAAAAAGTGGTACAAAGTTTTCCCCCATAAACTAATATATAGAAAAAATTTTACTTTGCCTCTATCTGCTAAATTTATTTTAGAGGCAGGCTACCCCATATCATCCTCTGGGGGTCGTAAGAGGTGACAGAGGGAATCAAATCAGGACATGGACAGCATCTTCTTAATAACACCAAAAAAAACTGCGTTTTCCAACCTACTTGCCAAGCGTGGCAACTATGGCAAATATTCCCCTATGGGGGAGGCCTATGTTGAACAGTGGACTTTTATAATCTGTAACGGTAACGGTAACACACTGCATGTGTATTTACACACCCAATTAAGACTAACCCTCGTCCTAAGTTAAAACATCTATATCAACGTCAACAGTTAATTACATCACTAACCTTTCAATATGAAAGAATTGAAAGTTAGGAGTACAAACAACAGATATCACCAAAATAGGAAATATGTGAGACCTTTATACAATAACAATAAAATTAGATATGATAAAACATATACATCAGTTTATTGTAATTTATTGTAATGTAGTTGTTTATTCATTAAGACTCATTCACGGTTTTAGGTTTATGGCCAAGCTTTTACTGCATCAGCCCTTTTCTTACTTGGGTTAAGAATGGTTGGCCAAGTACATCGATTGAGGGGGCCAGCACTGATTGTCCCTTGTGTATTGATTATGGTGAAGTTGTAAGTATTTTTAGTTCATTTTATGCGTTATTCACAATAAACTAAGAGATATGGCAGGTAAAATCCATGATTGCTTATAGTTGACTGAGCCAGGTCTGTTCTCGAAAATCCACATCGAAGGACATGTTTTGCATGTAGGCAGTAATATAAGATTATTCAAGTCTTCTAAGTTCATTGAAGAATTTTAGTAAATTTTTCATGTCCATTTTCTTTATCATAATCTATAAATATAGGAGAGTAGGATTTGCCATAAATGTCATGTTTGACAAGTTGATTGACAATCGTAGTTTCAATTTTTTTGCACCTTTGACACTGTTTCCCAATGCCAGTCTGGATAGTTTATTTACCTGTCTGGTTGGCAGTGTTTTATTCCTGTACCTCGGTAAGTACGTAAAGCTGTTGTGTCGGATTCCACTGAACCATGCGAGTGAAAGAAGAGTAATTTTTTTAATAGAATAAGGGTGATAAATGAGGTATGATGATGGTAAGTGGATGCTGTGGCCCATAGACATCTATCCTCGATTAAGAATAAAAATCAAGATACGTTGTCACCCCTGAGGACTACGATGGGATGCCTTGTTTTCAGTAAATAGGGTCTCCAGTACACTCATCAAACGAAACACAGCAGGATTAAGCTGCTATTTAACGCTGATATTCTGTGAGAGCGTGGTCCTTCCCCAGTCAATGCATTAATATCAATGAATGATGTGTGCTTGCACAGTTCACACACTCGTACACTATAATCATTTACACTGCAAGACTGGATTACAATGGTGGAGGTGCAATGGTAGCAGTGGGTGGATCTGAAGAGCGAGGTGAAAACATTTTCAGACTGACATATTCCTCTAAAAGTTCTTAGGAGGAAAAATCTAACTGATAAATGCTATTATTGTTGAATAAACAAAACAGAAAAAGACTATGGAGCTTTTATGTAGTATACAAGAATTGTAATGCAAAACACAAGGCCTAGTGAAGCAAGGAGACTTATAAAAAACTTATACCTACTATATCTACTTACTTAACAATAACGTACCTACCTGCCTAGTTCTTACTTTTACCTTGCTACTACTAACTTTAACTATGTTGTTAATTTACTTTCTTGGTCTTTATATTATTACTATACCTACTACCTACTCACATACCCTTACTTAGACTGTGTTTTGTACATATATAATATGGGGAGTTAAGCTTAATTATTTAGCATCAAGTCAAACATCCGTGGTTTTTAGATGTTAATTAAACCTATATCTGTATTGTTTTTTGATCTGATAAATAAATAAAAAAAAAGCCTTTACAAATATAATATTTGTAAAGGCGATTGTCGTGAGTGGAAATAAACCTTACTATGCTCACCTACGGAGTTGCATGTCTTCTAAAGTTGGTTTGCTGTCCGTAGTATGTGATGAACTAGATAGCCTTGTATTCGAAGGATCTTAAATTGCCGAAACCTGACCATAACCTGACATTATCAATGTCTCCATACCTATACCCAAGAGTTTAAAACTCTATAGACGACATCATCTTCACCCCATAGGATATCTTTAAGATTCTTAATACCCTGATTGTAAATTTTGTTGCTTAGGCCTGATAATAACTCTGGAATATTTCTGAAACCCAGTCTTAATCTTCTCATCCGTGCGGGATTCGATCCAGCGGCCCTCAGCATCGTAACTCATCAAATCACACTCGCCAGAGGGCCATCTAAAATATTGTCAATTTATTTTCAAACTTGTCTTACTTGTTTTCCAGAATTATATTACCTGTTGTAATGAGAGAGTGTGTCACGGCGCTCAATGCTGGTGTAAATGAGACAGAAACATCATCCCTATCTACATATGCATTCCTGTATGGAACTATTCCAACTGCTCCAGCTGTGTTTGTGTTTTCAAATTTATACCAGTTAGAAATGGATTTGGTGAGTTTTTATTGCTATTTATATTTCTTTCGTCTATTTCTTTTTCATTTAGGGGCTTATGATGCTGGATGCAAACATTTAGCTATTAATCCTGTAGTTAAAAGTATAATTGGTATATTGTAAAACTAAGATTTTTATTTTTGAAGTAATTTGTAAAAGTATTACTAACAAACTGTCAAAATATATTTAATTAAAATATAATCATAATTATTTATTTGCAATAATATGTTATTAGTATAAGTTATATATTTTAAGGTGGCTTCATCCATGGTTATTTGTACATTCCTATCGGCGCCTATTACATTCCTATCTGCTCAAGTAATAACATTAAATAAGGACTTTGCTGGTCAATTAAAGAAGTTTGGCTTTGACCTTTCTATAGTGGCGATATTTGCAGCGATGTGGATATTCTTGGTTTTCACAGTCACAAAAAAATATAAAAGAATGCCACACAGGATAACATTTTGTTTGAATATTACACAGGTATGTAAGGTAGTTTTGTTCTATTATATTACAAGGTGGCAGGACTCCTTTTCTGCATTTTACCTATTTCTGCCACAAAATAGCAGCGTGTGTACTGTTGTTCCAGTCTGAAGGTCAACTCATTTGTAGCCGTCTTTATTTGAAGTAGATTGTAGGTGTCCATGGGCAGCAATAGCCGGTATTCTAACACAGTTTCCACTATTTTTATGTTCCATTTTAAAGGTATGTTGACTCGGTGTTACTACAGGACAGGATTTGACATTTTACCTAAGTCCTAGTAATAGAGACAAAAAAAAGACATTACTTTAAAGGTGTTTGCAGATTTTCTTTTGCTGTTGTGCAAGTCAATTATCATTGGGTGGACTGTTAGTTTATTTGTCAGTTTGTCATGACGGTTTTAGTATCTTGTATATGACAGGAGTGTAAGTAAGAACATATTAATAAATTTCACGACATGCCAACCTGACTTAATATATGTTTTTTTATAGGATAGGGTGATAAACGAACACACAGTCCACCTGATGGTAAGTGGTTGCTGTGGCGTATAGAAATCTACATTTATCCTCGTTTGCCAATCAAAATGCAGATGCGTCGTCTCACGGGTGACGACGCACGGACTAAGATGGAATGCCTCTTTTCCAGTATAAAGGGACTGCGGTTCTCTACACTCACCATACGAAACAGCAGTGTCAAGCTGCCATTTTACGCTGGTATTCTGTGAGAGCGTGGCCCCTCCCCGGGCGACCCGACCCATACGTGCTACAACTGTCTACTAATATAGCTGCAGCATGGCCCTACCAAAGTGAAATGTGAAATAAAAGATACGCGAAGGAATGTCAAGACGACAAGGCGAGTGTAATATTTTGATTGGCAAACATAACAATCACGACAAATGCTGCTTACAGATTGATGATAAACAAGGGTTGATATTTTAATAGTATTTCTGTTCATTGAGTTTTAATACTTGTGACACTTTTTAATATTGAATATTTTGAAATGTTTTAGTTTTATATATTTAATTTTAATTAAAAATATTGTAAATTACCCATCTTTCTCCACTATAAATAATTATGGATCCACTTTTATTCTCACGAATTACTGAGGTATCCCTTTTTTAAATATTGTATATGTTGTACTAAGAACACAAGCGTTTTGTGTGAAGGCATGGCATTTTTGTGTCATATTTATATAATGTGTTGCGGTAGAATAGGATTTAATAGTGTAAGTGTTTTTCTTTTTATTAAGTTTTTTTTTTTCATTGTCTTTAATTTGGGTTAACTGGTAGAGAATGCCACAGGGCATTATGTCGGCCCTTTGTAACCCCTAGTCGATGTGTTGCAATAAAGGATAAATAAATAAATTAAATAAAAATGCCTTCAGCTGGTTACTGTGAAATTGACTTACGACTGATTTGTCGGGGGGCGTGGCTAGGCCGGCAGATAACTATGACTCACAATTTTTTAATGTGAATGATCTATAGTGGACACAGGTCTTCTCTTATTCATGAGAGGGTATTAGGGCAAGAAAGAGTCCACAGCTCACTCTACTCCAATGCATATTAATAAACTTCACCCCTCGAAACGTTTTATAATGGCCAGGCATGCCGATATTTTCTTTTATCGCCCAATAAATGAGTTTGCCATTGAATTGATTTGCTTGTGTAAGTACTATAAAATTTTAAATATGTATATTAAAATATAAGTAGATAATAAAGTATCTATTTGCAGATATTATTAGCTGCCAGTGTCATATGGGGTGGTCCACGTGAAAATTATCCGCCGTCTTGGCAATATATCTTTCAACAAGCCTTGCAAATATTCAGCACATACTCCTGTTTACTCTGGACTTGCATGTTGTCAGTTGGACTACTAACATTAGAGGTAATAATAAACTTAGATCAATGACGTACATACATTCTCTTTAAACGATGGCTCGGTAGCGCCATTCAATAATAATAATAATAATTTATTTATTTCTCACCACAAACGACATGGACATTGGATACATTAGTGTTACATCTCTATTTAACAATATTATGTCATTCGTGGGAGACCGGTGCCCGTGTAGGTTCAAAGACCCGTATTACAGGTCACCAGCCCCCCCCCCCCCCCCGAATTTACTAGGCACTTAGTATAATATACAGAGATAACTTATGTTATGATTAGAAATTATATTATATAGAGGGAATTAACAGTTTGGCTATATAGAAATAAATAAAATAAAGACTATGTAATTATGTACGTATGTATGTGAGTGTGTGACTATTAGTATATCTGTGTATATGTTTGTGTGTATTTATGATATTATTTGGAGTAATTGTTCAGTGTCTGTGTATGATAGAGTCTGAAGATATCCCACGAGTCTATTTTTACTTGACCATTTGTTGACTTCATAAATAGACAATTTTTGTTATAATTTATTATACAAATATGGTCCCAAAAACGTGAAGAATTTCCTTGCAAAAGACGTGTTGCATGGCACTGATCGAGCTACAAGATAATTACGGCGATGTTCTTTTTGAGTTACTTTTGTAATTGTGTGTTGTCTTAAGACTATATGGAGTACGAATAACTGTCGAACTGTAAGAACTTCGCTAATTTTATACAGATCTAAAGTTGGATATAGGTAAGGTTTAAAATGTATAACTTTTAAAAGTGACCTTTGCGCACGTTCTAGTTCAATAAAATGTGTTTTGGCGGCTCCGCCCCAGACTTCAATTCCGTATGTCAATAAAGATTGGCACAAGGCATAATAAGCCAATTTTAGGACTGCTCTATTTGCAACATGTTAATATAATGCAATTGAAATTTTTGAATTCATAAAAGAATTCTGTGTTAATGAATGTGGCAATACGTTCGGCTTTTCTACCGACTTCAAAAAGGAGATGGTAGTCAATTCGACTGTATGTTTTTTTTATGTGTGTTACCTCATAACTTTTTTCTGGGTGAAACGATTTCGATGATTCTTTTTTTATTTGAAAGCTGGTACTTGTCATGTAGTCCCATGTGAATTTGATCCAGGTCTGACCAATAGTTTTTTTAAGTTATTGTTAATAATTTATATTGAAGTCGGTTGTACAATATTTTTAATTTTAAATTATGCTGCAACAAGTACAGATAAAATGCAAATTCTGTACTACTATTTTGTGTGATGTAATATTAAAATGATAACATTATTGCAATCAGCGTGCGGTGGCGGCGTAAAAGAATCTTATTTCGTCCCGTGTTTGATGTAAGAGGCGAAAATGCAAGAAAAATTTTATGGCTTCCGATAGAACGCGGTATAACTATTTCTGGTTTACGTAAGACGTAGAATACCCAGACAGGCGACTCTTAGCAGCGGCTACAGCTTGGCCAATATAATTAGGCGCATGATATGAATGCGCTTTTGGCGCCCGCACCCCGCCTCAATCCCCGCGCTTCCCCTAGTGACCAATCACCGTTCCGTGTTCCCTCCCTCGTTCTAATGACGTCTTAGCAGTCATGCGCCTAATGAGGGCCATCCACGACTTTTTCTGCCACCAGGGCGGTGCCACTTAAAAGTCAGGTATAATATTTGACAGATTTCATAGCGGGGAAGTTAATTTGTTCGGAAAATGTAAAGGTTAATGTTTTTTTCTGTACTATTAGCTGTATTTTATATTAATAAGATTAAAAGTAACTAAACCAAACCACAGATATAAATAAAAATAGAAAAATTAAAAAAAAAGTTAAAAATGTGCAAAAAATTAAATAGCAAACCATTGACGCATTGTTTTGTGTATTAATATAATACTCTAGAATCAAACTTTTATTAAAAACCAACTTCTCAATTAAATGACATTGTGTAACAAAACACTTTACCTCAGTGTCAACTAGCGACATCTGGTGAGCAGAAAATTATTAGCCCTCATTGTTTTGGTCACGTAGTACAAGACGTGATGATAAAGAAAAAGATATATTTTTTTGTTTAAAACAAGTAAACTCGGTTAATTAATTCCTTCGCTGTCCCGTGCAACTATATATATAGGTCATTGGTATTTTCTTTCTATTGTGTCTGTAAATCGGACAGTGAAAGTATTGATATTGTAGTGTAGTCCCCACATATATTAGTGTTAATGTATATATACAATACTATTTTGTAAGTACAAAAAAAAAATAAGTACAGTTGCAGCAAATGCTACTATTGATAATGGCACTGTCAGAATATTTTTTATTATTTATCAATCACAATATTATCGAGATGTGTTTTTATCCAAAAATTGGCGTATTTTTATTGGCACAATACTAGAAAATACTACACAAGTTAATTACTTACGCACTCCATTCGTAAGACGCTCCCGTTCCCTCTCCCACCATTAGTACGTCACAACTCCTTTCTCTCTTGTCGTATTCTCTCGTTTACTTCAACGGCTCACGAAACGAATGCCGGCCGGAGTGTGAGCGAGACAGCAAGTGATTTATGAATGGATCGAATTGGAGTCAATCCTCTCCTATTATACGTATCTACTATTATTTATTATCTACTATAATAAACTAGTAACTAATTATTATCCTTTTTTTTTTGAGATAATTTTTTTAATTAATTATTTGAAGTTTTATCTACGTAAATGTGATCAGTAACAGACACTGATAACACTTTTTTTTGGTAATTATGAAATATGGGTGTATAGCAATAAGTAGTAGTCTAATTAAAGTCATTGACAGAACAACAAGTCTCTTTCTTACTAACACTTCCTATATTACATGGCGACCCTGGCAGGAACCTATTCCTGCCAGGGTATGCTGTATGTACCGGCGGTATGCTGCGTCAACGTCAAATTAAAAAAAGTCCCGCTGGGATTCTTGCTGGTTCTTCCCAGGACAGAGTTTTTTTGAACCAGTGGTAAAGTAAAAAATTAATTTCAATAAGAATTACACATGTGATCTATATTGAATAAAAAAATATTCTATTATATTCTAATGCATACGCACCGCCGGGACCGAGACCTACATAAAAGAGAAAATTTTTACGAAAAGGAAATTAAATAATGTACGGTGAGTGGGGGGAAGATCGAACGGTTTTTTGATGAGATGAGCAGTGTTGTGTTTGACGTCTTGTAAATCAGTACATATTAATTTAAGCTAAAATTATATCTATAGTGAATAAAGTACAAAGAACATATTTTTATGTCATATCTATAAATCCCTGTTATATTTATTCGAAAGCAAAAAAAAAAATAATTACAATGTTTTTATCGAAAGAAAAAAACAGGGGGAAAGATGAAAGGGGGTGGTAGGGAAAGATCGAAGTAGTTTCTAAAATCGTTCAAATTAATGTCAGACGATATTGACTGTCAGTAGGCTACAATTTTAATCGTCCTGACACTTCAGAACTGTATAATATCAAAATACCTTCAGATAACACAGATAACACAACTTATTTGTTTTTTATATTTCAATCTTGACCCGCCGGGGAAAGATTGAACTAGAGGTTCTCAAAAATAAAATTCACAGCGTAGATATTCCCTTATAAAACACAACCGATCCCTCAAAACGACAAGTGCCGACTTAGGTGTGGTACGTAGCAAAATGGCGGTCTTATGAATGTTGCCTGCATTGGATAAATTATACAAAATCTGTCTTTACTGATGCCTTTTTGTCTTACCCCGTTTTTCATCTTCCCCCACTCACCCTAATTCATCATGGATTAACATCTAAATAATTTTAAAAATATATATTATCTTTAAAAAATAATCGCGGCTTTAATGTGGTCCCATACACTATATAAACAGTATAATAAGTGTTTGCTGTGGTTTTCTACATAGTACATACTAATTATTATAAAACACTGTAATGTATACAAATTGACATTTAGAATTATCACGCACGCCGGTGTCTTAACGGTGGGCAGGCTATGTTGACGTTATTTTGTAAAAATTCTTTCGTTATTGGCTGTTAAATCAAACCTTTGGGTTCGGCCAAACCATCATCTTATTTTAGCCGAAGACCGAATGTGCATCCCAAGTTGCTTTTTATGGCCGAAATCAAAACCTAAGTCGAGCCGAAGCCAAAGCTTTGGTCGAAAACTACTCATAGATAATTCTAGAGTTTTGGTCTCGATTCTAGTTCAATTGTAATTATTCGATTACAGAGTCGCGGGCCCTGTTTCCTTTTGACCCTGTGGCCAGTGCTGGCGTTCGTTGCTTGGGGCGCCCCTGCGGTAATGGTCGCGATATTGATGGCAACCAAACCCGCTGGTGGCTTTGTGGAGAGCAGTTCCACTGACGCCATACGCTTATGTCTGCTAGTCTTCAGCTTAACTGGTAAGAAACAGAAACTTTTTTATTCAATATAGATTATAAATAAAACTTATTGAAAGTCACTCTTTTGTTTAATTACCTTTTGGTTCCCAACCACTGGTTCGAAAAAAATATTTGTTGCCATCATCGTTTCTCAAACTTCTTGTATTATTTTATACATATAGAATTGTAAATATTATCTATAAAATTTGAACTCCACTATAGTGGTGCGATTTGTGCACCAAACATTATTTTTCTGTTATTTTTACTGTAATCCGCCATAATATATTGGCGGTGAACTACCCGTGCGGTTAAAGAATGGGATTACCAATGGGTAAAATTATTAAATTTTGTACAACCGATTTCAATATAAGTAAAATGAGAACATCATCAATGTAGGCGAAATGAATTAAATACGCAATATTAAGGATACGTTAAAATCTTAAAATAAAATTCAATACAAAAGTAAGTAATATTTTTAACTGTTAATTTTATCTGTTAAAAAAATTAACAAGCAAGTTTTAACAAATAAATAAATTCAACCATTAACGCCTTGTCTAGAATGGATGTTCCCTCAATCGATGGTTTTAATACAATACAAAACAGACAATTTAATAATCTATTGGCGCCCATCGCATACCTAATAACTGCAGTCGTTACGTAAGTAGTGGCTTACCGCAAGCGCACCGCACGTCCGCCGCACCATATTTTGTAACTGCTTATTTAGTAGTACGCATAATGGGTGCGCTGTGCTACAAATTAGTAGTTAAAGTTGACACGGTATCTGTGTCAGTCATTGTCGCACGCTGCACGCCGTCGATGACAATCAACTAACATGGATTGTTATCGAATTTTATCGACTAAACTGAACAATCGACTAATTCGATTAGTTTTAGTAATAATCGCCAATCGTTAACTCACACTCGCCAGTAAAGACTGCAAAACAAATACTTTGCGATATGCGTTTTTCGTACGTTCTAAATAACTTCATGGATAAGTTGGACTGAAGATAATCTTATTATGAATATACTATAATTATGAATATACTATAACATCAATGATAATAAAATGCCATAAACTACAAAAAAAAATTTCAGTTATGTTTCGCTAATTTGTGAGCTACGGCGCTTTCTGAGTTTTCTTCATAGTTATTGCAAATTTTATTTTGTATTATTTTTGTATAAAATATTTAAATGTTTATGTTGAGACATGAGTAACCATTTTTAAAATTTTCTTTTGTCTGTCCGACCTAATCTTTGGAATGGCTGAACCTAAATAAAACTTCACGAAAAAATAGAGTAAATACCAAGAGTAATCTAGACTAAATTTTATCTGAAAAATTTAGAGACTATTAAAATAGAAATATTGATAAGATAAAATAAATGGTCTTTAATAATTATTATCTTAAGTCTAAAAAAAGCCGCCATTTTTAATCCCATTCTTTAGCAATACGGACTGTAAAACAATACATTAATTTCGTCCCGTGGATATCGTAAGAGGTGACTAGAGTAAATGTCAGAAAAAATTTACGGCTACCGATAGCCTACCGGATAGACAGATTTTACGTGGTTTGTTTTGTGGCATACCTTTGAAGAGGTCTATGGCATGATGACGATGATGAATATCACAAATCTAATAACAAGTAAAATGCATCAACATTCAATTATTCAAGTCTATTAAAATTTTAGAGAATTATTGATTATGAAATTCAAATTATAATTGTTTTTTTATTTAGACTTAATTCAATTGCATTCGTTTTTGACAAGTAGGTAAGCACCACTTTTTTCGTATAGAATATAAAACAACTTCAGTATAGTTTATGTGTGCATAAATTTTTATTTATTTGTTTAGTAAAGTTTAGTGGCGCCGTAAGAGAATCTACTATTCTACATCATTCCGAGGGTATCGTAATGGTCGTAGAACAAAATGAAACAGGAGATAGCAGCTGCATTATTTTGGTAATAACTCAAAATAATAATAAAAAACTGCATTTGCCTACTCGCCTGCCAAGTGTGGCAACTATGGCAAATATCCTCGTATGAGACAATCTATAGGAAAGTCTATGTTGAGCTCTGAAATCTTTGAGTGAATGAATGCGAATGCTAAACATTGGTTAAAACTATTTTTATTGATTTTATCGCGTTTAATTTATTACTTATCAATACCTGCTTTGAAACACCCACATTAGGACCAACGCTGCCAATGAGGGCTAATAATCTTCCACTCACCAGATGTCGCTAGATGTGACTGAGGTAAAGTTTTTTGTTACACAGTGTCAGTTAATTGAGAAACTAGTTTTAAATAATAATTTATCATTATCTAGAGTATTATATTAATACACGACACAATGTGTCAGTGATTTAATTTTTAACTCTTTTAACACTTCTAACACTTTATAACTCTCTTTAAAAAAAATCGGCTCTTAGTTATATTTATAGTTTGGTTTATGCATTTCTAATGTAATTTATATAAAATATAACTAATAATACATAAAGAAACTTTAAAGGTTACATTTTCCCAAGAAATTATCTTCACCGCTATGAAATCTGTCAAATATTTTACCTCACTGTAAAGTGGCGCCTCCCTGGTGGCAGAAAAAGTCGTGGATGCCCTCATTCTTCCTTGCCCTTAAACCCCCCAGTAGTGGAAGGAGATCTACGTCCAGCTTTGCGATGTATGTGGCGATGACAGCTTCTTTGCTATACATACAATTTTTTGTTTCAGTGACATCGGGCTGTTTAATTCTATACATACGATTCCGTCGACGCAGTTCACATTTTGCCGCCTTGTCTGATGATCTGGCCTCCAGTCCACCGGATGAATCCACTAGTCTTGTTGAAAACGCTGAACCTATATCACACTCTCAGTCCACATCTAATATGGGTAAGTAGTATAATCACAATAATTTTAGTTCTCCCAGAGTAATCTTAACATAAATAGCAGGCAATGTGTGTGTTGTGACGGCTAAAAGTCTTGTGAAAGCTTCTGGATCTAATCTTTAATGTGCTGAATCACTTTGCAATTCGTCTAGTCTCTTTAAATAAAAAAAAAATCACAGCTAGTACGTTTTTCATAACAGCCGTCAAAGAGCGACCACTCCTGCATCTCTCAAAGTTAGTCGATCGTGCTAAAAAAATTTATAAGTATCGGCAGTGCACGATTACTTTAGAAGGACCTTTATTTATAAATACTATTTGAAATCTATAGTAAAATTTGCTCGCTCACGATACAATAATTTAGCTTGCAAAAAACTTTCTGCGTGGCTTGTATTAATAAATTCCTGTCTTCATATTCTTATAATATTTATGTCTTACAGTTTACAAAATATAATAAGATAACCATTTTTGTATAGCACAGTGTTAACGGCAAAACTCTGATACCTAAATTAAATAGAAAATTATACATACAGGGATCTTTATATATTACTAGCTGTGCCCCGCGGTTTCACCCGCGTCATCACTTGTGCGAGGTGCGCGACTTGACCTAGTTCAAGCATTTTATAACGGCTAGGGCTTAAGCGTCGTTCTCGCGCCCAGCCAAGTATTGAATTATTTTAATTTTACATTATCTCTTAAACTATGCGTCCAAATAACATGGTATAAAGAACAAAGTTTATCTTCATAAAATTGTCTTGATGATGAAATAACTTTCGCTCGTAAGGATAAATAGGCCATGCCTAATAATAACGCTCATAAATCACTTTTAAATTTTCAATATTTTTTTATCACAAAATACCAAATTATGGCTTATGAATAAAAAATAGACATATGGTATCGCGGACTTTTTTTTAGACGGAGTAAAGGTCTATATTTTTCTAGAACATTGTATTTTTGTATCCCTAACGATAACACCAGCGTACGCGGATAAATCATTTCGGGAGCGCTTTTTCTTCTGACTTGCTTAACAAATATCCATATTTAAGGCTAGCTGAGTAATATAGTCTATACTACTTCCACATGAATCTGGCTATAATATACAAAAAGAATTTTTCAAATCGGACTGGTAGTTCCAGAGAATAGCGCGTTTAAACAAACAAAAAAAAAACTCTTCCGCTTTATTATATTAGTATAGATTAAGTCTTTACTTACATCCGTTTGTAGTAGTTATGGTTTGATTTCGAATTCTAAATTCAATTAAATAAATTGTTGGTGCGTCTGGTTTACCGTGTAGTGGCGGTGTAAGAATATCAACCACCGCCTATCATCTCGTGGGTGTCGTAAGAGGCGACAGGGGGAAACAAATCTGGAGATGGGCAGCAGCGTCTTCCTAAACGACTAAAAATTAAAAAAACTGCGGTTGTCAACCTGGTTGCCAAGCGTGGCAACTATGGCAAATAACCCCCTATGAGGCAATCTATGGACGCGGCCTGCATTCAGCAGTGGTTATTAAATAGGCTGTAACGGTAACGGAGTCTGTTAGTGATAGTGTAATTTCGGAATGTCTTCACCGATTAAGGTCTTTTTCACACAATATGTTTGTTTCGCCGAGACCATGCTTTTCACTTTTGAATATTGAATACTACCTACACATATGATTATGGTATTTTTATAATGCCCAATCAATTTTAAAAGTATTCCATTTTGCTTCTATTGACAATATCGTAATGAATATTTGTACACCACACTGTGGTAGAATACACGATAACTACTGTACATTTTACGAACACCTGACTTACCGTATTCACAAATAAATAAATGAATTTGAATTTGAAAACCATGGTTCATAGCTATGTTAATTTACACACGATAGTCGGCGCTCTAGTCAAGTTCTGAACAAGTTCTATATTTATGAAGAAAAAAAACGATTTATATTCATATATATTGGTTTAATGCCAAAAAAGAAAATCATAAGCATTGAACGTAAAAGGTGGTGCTGAGGTCGTTACTTACTAAATCTGACTGTAAAAAAATTACATAGTGAACACGGATTAAAAACCGGAGAGGGTAGGACAATGTACGCCGAGCCAGCTAATGTATTATTAAAATGAAAATGCACTATATACTATAGAATCATACGAGGGCGGCACTGAAAATTTCGGGAATCAAGGAATTGACACAACATTACTATTTAAAAATGTATTTATTGCTTTTCGAAGTATTCTCCGCGAAATTTGACACATTTTTCCATACGATGGAACCAATCATTGAAGCAACCATTCCATTCGGAAGTTGGGGTCTCCAAAATGGCCGTTTTGTAGGCGTCCACAGCTTCTTCAGGTGATGAAAATCTCTGTCCACGCAATTTATTCTTTATTTTAGGGAAAGTATAGAAAAGTATAACTCATTTTCGAACACCCAAATTCGTGACTGGTTTTTTTTTCGGGTTCGTACGCGTATATCCAGGATTCGTCACCTGATACGATGTTGTATACAGCATTTGAGGATCCTGCGTGGAATCTTTCGAGAATGCTGACGCACCAAGTAACGCGAGCCGCTTTTTGCTCTTCACAGAGCGAATGCGGTATCAAGGACCAAGGACTTTTCAATTAAAAATATTTTAATATGACAGGAACAGTGGAAATATTCCATTCCCGAAACTTTTAGTGCAGCCTATGTATTGCTATTTGATTATTCAAACACCGACAAACGGATTATAGTTGAAAAATTGTTATTTTTATGAATAGACTAGCCGGCGCGTTGCTGCCGCAGAAAAAATAATTGTGGAAATATCGTTTTAAATTTGAAAGAGTTATATTGTATAATTAGGAATGCTAATACATTCATTGAAATTGAATGATATATAACTTTAAATTAATTTGTTGTTGCGATACGCGCGCCACCTACTGTAAGTTAATTCGCAAGTGTAAGCAATGAGTTGACAAAGTTTTACTGCAATCTGTTGAACGGTATGGAAGTGCATAAAATACGAACAAACAAAAATATATTTTTATATATTGGATTTATAAAAATGAAAATGACGCTTCAAGCTAGTTCTAATGGTTCCATTCCAATTTTCCATGAATGTTAAAATAATGTTTTCTATAGATATAGATTGACGATCACAGTACCTGCGTCTCGCACCCTTGACACTGCTGCATGTCGCCGGTTTGGTTTCATTTACGTGGTAGAGCCATTCTGCAACTATATTAGTAGTAGGTGACTTCAAAGAGTGACTTTCAATAAGCATTATTTATAATCTTCTTCTATATTGAATAAAAAAGTTTCTGTTTCTGTTTCTGGTATAGTTGTAGCACGAATGTGTCGGCTCGACCGAGGAAGGACCACGCTCACGCAGACCAGTGTAAAATAGCAGCTTAACGCTGCTTTGTTTCATATGGTGAGTGTAGAGAACCGGAGACCCTTTTTACTGGAAACGAGGCATTACATCTTAGTCCTCACGCTTGACAACGCATCTGCATTTTGATTCGTAATCGAGAATAGATGTAGATGTCTATGGGCCGCAGCAGGTGGACTGTGTGCTCGTTTTTCATCCTTATAATGTTCAATCCGTTTTTATCCTATAAAAAAATGTCTGGCTTGAAAAAGATGGTTTAACCGCCATCTATCGGTACCCATAAGATATTTCTGGAATATCCCATGGTTGCCTCTTACGACACCAATAGGATACAAGAGGTAAAATTAGGTAAAATAAAAAAAAAATGGATTGGATCAGATTTAATTATTGTGCGTAATAATAATAACTCAATTTATAATAATTAAGTAATCATGAGTTTTCCAATTCTCTGTTATGCTACCAAAGGAATGGAGGATCAGGGTAATTATTATCTTTTACGTTATCTATGATTTAATTACTTTTTGATAATAATATTTATCTAATCAACACTTAATTTTATGGCAAAGGTTTACGTAGAGGTCAGTATATGTAATACATTATTAGCTTACATTAGTCTAACGCTCAGTTTCTGAAAGGTTAGGCAAACCTTCGATCATTTCACCTAACGTATAAATTGATCTCAAATGGTAACAAGTTGTCAAACATGATCAAGCTTCTAAAATGCAAGGCTGTCGAGAGTTTGTGGAATTGTGATGATGGAATTCTTGAATAAAATAAATACTTCGATATATCGACCATGTGTAGATGTTTTAATAGGTTCTGATAACCGGTTTGAGGTTAGGAGTCTGGCGATACGATATGTGACCTCCGGAACTAGGCTAATCTAGAATAATATATAGTATAGTGTAATCTAGATTGGCGACAGGGAAACTGTGCCGTAATTTCTTCAGTTCTTTACCATTTAAAGAAATATTTTGGAAAGGAGACGTTCTTTAATTTACGAAGAAATACATCTGCTAACACATTGGCAGACTATAACCCGCTCAGAAATTAGAGTAGACCTTTGCCTAGTGTGACATAGGCTGTAACTTTTCTTTTATAAGTATAATAATGTCAATTTTACGTAAGGCTGATCTTGAAGATTATCTTATATAATCTTGAACACTAAGGCAGATTTTTACGTGAGCTTGTGTGAGATATCTCAAATAACTTAATGTTTTATATCGCATTTTATTACTGAATGCAGTTCTTCATTCTATTGTGGTAAGTTAGAATATGTCAAAAGAGATACCGAGGGGCAATTTACGATGCTATGTTAGTACCTATCAAAATAAGTAATGATATGGTAAAAATTCTGTGATAAGAGAAAACTGTGGTTTGTGGGCACATAGAAAAAATGAATAAGGAAAAAGTGACAAAGCAAATTTATGCTGCAAGAAATGAGTGGCAGAATCCAGCAATGGCTTTAGCGCAATCGCCATAGCGTCTAGACCGGCTATGGCGACCTTTTTTGAGATGTGTGTCATATTTTTCAATATTTTTTTCGTACTAGCTCGGGTTCTCTAAGGTAGTCGCGTCACTTGGAAAGGGGGATGGTTAAAAATTACATTTATCGGTTTTCACGTTTATAATACTTTGATAACTTTTTACAATTTTTAAATTTACAAGTGAAGAGCAAAAAATAAAGGTCGATGACAAAAAGTTGATAAGTATATTGGATGATACCATGAATAAACACGCACCAGATGACACCATGTCCAGTTAGCAGTCGCGCTTTCACTTAGTATTTAAATGAAATATTTTTGACGGTCTGTTCTCTCTTTTGTGATATGAAAAATATTTTGATAAATGACTGCTTATGATCCGTGTGTCATATGTTTGTCATCTGTCCTAGACGGAAGTTTATCGAGCATAATGATTTCTTATATTTATGCGAACACTACACATAATTAAAACATTCTTCAAGCCGCCGAAGAAGATTAGTCAGTTCTTACCATCCGTCAAGTGCAATATTCCTCTACAAGATGCAGGAATGTACAAGCTTGATTGTGAATGTGGTCTCTCATATATAGGGCAAACAAAACGATCAATAAAAACCCGCGTAAAAGAACACGTAGCTGACATGAAGCACCAATGTTCCGGGAAGTCTGCAGTTTGTGATCATATCCTAGATGGCCCCCGCCATTACACTAGATTTGATAAACCACAAATTCTCGCGAAAGAACATCGATTCCTACCAAGGATGATACATGAGGCTATTGAAATTAAAAACCATCCTAATTTCAATAGAGAACCTGCTTGGGATCCTGTAATTAATAAAATTAAAACTGAACCCAAGCATACCACTGCAATACTTCAAGACATAGTAACTTCATTCTGCGTAGATCGGACCAAAATTAATAAATAAAAAAACTGAAGGTACTCCGTGTTAGCTCTGACATCGGGTCGTCAATCACCTCAGTCCCTGTGACCATGGGTGTTGGTAAGCACACGAAACGTCGGGAATTAATAAAAATAAGAAAAATAAGTTAATTAAACGCGATAAAATCTGTAAAAGTAGTTTTATTCAATTTATACAGCATATTAGGGATTTATTGAAGGTGGGGCCGAATTAAATGTATAAAAAATTAAAGAATAACGTTGTTGGTTGCAAAATAGTTTGGTTTCAGCGTCACTTAAAACGTGCCCAAAGCTCCGTCTTTCTTTTTTGTTGGTCCGAAGTATTTAATTACAAGTTGAAGTAGTAATATGCGTACCACAACACAATAGTCAATCTTTAATTTTTCAATATCCATTGATTCTACTACAGCGCCTTTGACCTTACGTTAATCAATTAAAAAGAGATGATCTGCTTTTAAGATACCCAAAAGTAGGGTAATCGAAGACATCACATCATAAAAATAGTGATTTGTTCAACATTTGTTACATCAATGTAGAAAACATATCGTTAATCACTCTTCGTGCAACACAAAACTCGATTGAATACTGTCCTTTCAGAAACGGGTGTAAGTTTATTAATCGGTTTGGTTTGTTTGTTGCCGTCGTTTTATTTCATCATGAATTTAAATAAATTTAATTTCATTTCATTTTCAAGTGTTTTGAATTAATATTTAAAGTAAGCTGCTATCTAGAACTTTGTGTTGGAATTAACCAAAAAATCGGTAATGGTGCTTGGCACTGTTTTTTGTCTGGTAGATTTGCAAATTGAGTAACACTATTATTACTAAAAACTATTGTTCCTTGTTAAATATGACATAATATGATTGTAATTGTAAAGGCTTTCTAAATATTTAATAGAATCAGGTGTTACTTTGCGGAAGTCCATTATACTAAACATGTTAAAATAAATGACTAAGATCCGCGTGAAAAAAAAATTATAACCTAGCTAGGTTCTTCTAGCTAGAAGAGCACTGCCCTCCCTCAATTACGTGCATTAGTAATTAGTAGTGATGTTAACGTCAGCACTAATCGCAACTCCATTACAACCCCAACAGCAATACTATAGGAAAGACGCACCACCGTCGATAATACGACATGTGTTTTATCCCTAAACTAGACTCGTAAAAGTGAACTAGTATAGTAACTATAGAGTCTGTTTTTAGTAGAGGGTAGGTGTGTTGGAATTAGTGGTGACGGTGATAGTGTACGCAATTGAGGGAGCGGAGGAGGTACTCTTCAAACATTCATTAATTTTATATAAGACAATGATCTTTATTTGAGAAATGTTTAGTGATTTGAACATGCTATTTTATTGAAGCTACCGTGGTTTGGATTAATTATTGTCTTATATTACACCGTTTTCTGTTTTTCACGTTTATGTGGTTATTAGAGCTTGCTATTTTGTAATGTCAATCCTATAGAAAAATGTGCAAACATAGGGTACTGGAAGATGTATCGATTCTATTTTCGTTTACTTCTTTATCTAGGTTGTTACGGGGCAATCACGGCCACTCCATCTCCCAATAAAAATCATAATGGGTGCTGTACCAATAATCCGAACTGTGAAAGTGGTTTCATGAATACATCTTCACGTGACATTGAGGACATGACCAATGAAAAGTGAGTTTAAATTACAATATTATCGTCGTTGTATTAATGTTCGTAAACCACGCTTTGCTTAGTTATATTGAAGTGTTTACTATATTTATCACAAATTAGCAAGTGTACTAAAACTGTTCAACTGTTCATCCTGTATGACTGGCCAAACAGAAAGTTTATCGAAAATACGTTTTTTTTTGTATGAGACACTTTAGCTTAATGAGCAAGCTATAGAGCCCGCGTATCGCTCGTTGCCCATTATGCCAAGCGTCAGCAAGTGTTCTATAGATACTGATACATAGATGAAGCGTTTGAATAGTGTTGCGCCAAGATTGACGCCCATGCGTTATTGTACTTGAGTTATTAGTTTAAATAAGGTAAGTATTTAGTAAATAATAAGTAGATGGGTAATTATGAGGTACGTTTTAGCAGGTGAATAAAACACAGGTACGAGTTTATAAAACGATGTTTATTAATCAAATACAAACATATATTTAAAAAAAGCGGCCAATTGCAAGTCGGACTCGCCCATGAAGGGTCACGTAGCAGCAAGTAACATAATATAAAAGTTCTTGTAGTTTGTTGTAACTTTAATCGATGTTTTAATAAGTGTATTTTTTTTATATTTGAGTTGATTGAATGAAAGGTAATTTGCGGTTTACGATTTATGACGTATTAAAAAAAACTACTTACCAGATCTCGTTGAAACCAGTTTTCGGTGGAAGTTTACATGGTAATGTACATCATATATTTTTTTAGTTTTATCATTCTCTTATTTTAGAAGTTACAGGGGGGGGGGGGCACATTTTACCACTTTGGAAGTGTCTCTCGCGCAAACTATTCAGTTTAGAGAAAAATGATATTAGAAACCTCAATATTATTTTTGAAGACCTATCAATAGATATGATTGACACCACACGTATAATTTACATGAAAAAAAAATTTTTTGAGGTTCAGTTCTAAGTATGGGGAACCCACAAAATTTATTGTTTTTTTTTCTATTTTTATGTGAAAATCTTAATGGGGTTCACAGAATACATCTACTTACCAAGTTTTAACAGCGTAATTCTTATAGTTTCGGAAAAAAGTGGCTGTGAAATACGGACGGACAGACAGACAGACAGACATGACGAATCCGTTGGGGGTATCATCCAATCCATGAGAGTTCCGTTTTTTGACATTTGGCTACGGAACCCTAAACATCGTGAACATGCACACGTAATTACGTAGGTACCTACATAAATAACTAAGTAACTACTGAAGCTAGTTAGTCTTTTAATAGATTTTAAATAAGTGTGGTATTGCATCTGCAACCAGCTTGTGTAGTCCACCCTTGGTATTAAAAATGAAGGAGGCACTAAAATGGATGAAACAAACGAAACTCTGATGTTGGGCTCCTAATTGGGTCTTTTTATTGCTACCAACCAATTTTTTGCCAATTGACGGCTTTTAGAGAAGTATTTTAACCATTTTTACGAAGTATTTTAACCATTTTTTTACCCTTATTATGTACCTATAAAAAGCTATTCAAAAGTTTTATTTTAGACATTGATCCATATGGGTTAGGAATACAAAGAACCTTAACTTCTAATACCATAATTATAATTAATAATTACGAAACAGAAGAAACAATGCGCGTGACCTTTCGTGACTTCATATCCGTGCTTACTGTTCATACTCGCTAACGCCCATCTATAGCTTGCTTCTAAATATTCCAAGGAGACACTGGACATAATTTATTTCATAATACGATTATTTGTTAGTAAAAATAAGAATGTTCTTATTTCAAATTTCTCATGATTTCTTTTTCGAGCTAACAAATTTCAGCACCATCGACTAACTTTGAGAGATGAAGAAACTAGTGGTGTGGTCACCATTTCACGGTTGTTATATAAAGAGACGTGTTAGGAATATGGATATTTTAATTGAACACAATAGGCAAATTACGTATAAAGAGATTCAGCGCATATTACTGTTTGTGTCAGAAATTGTTCATGAGATTTTACATGAACACCTTCGCTTGAGGAGCATAATTTCGCATTAGGTGTCGCAGAACCCCACGGATGCTCAGAAGCAGGTCCGCGTGTATGGCTGTAACATGATTACTAAAATCGAAGCAGGCTTTTCTCAATACGATCCAGAAACGAAACGCCCGTAGCCGATTTGGCTGTTCCAAAATTATCCAACGTCTACCAAAGTGAAGCAATCTAGAAGCGCAGGGAAGATTTTGATCGCTAGTTTTTTCACTTTGACGGGACATCTAGTGTCAATTCCTTTATATGGCGCCATAAAGCGGTTGAAAACGAGGCTTTGTGGGCTTTTGATTTCCAATGATAACGCGGTTAACTCGCGCACCTTGCTCAAACGAAGGACTTCTTGGATATTACACCAGTTTAAGAATTTGTGTCGCCCTCCTTACAGCCATTTCTAATTTGGCATCATAAGACTTCGCTTAGAACTTCTTTTTATTTCCTCAAATAAAAAATCAACTGAAAAAGACATAGCTTGCATCACTGGAAGATGTGTTAGCGCCGTCCGATCAGGACATAGAAGGGGTGTATGAGGCGAAACGGAAAGTGTTTCAAAAATTGATGCTGGTGGGAAGATCTTTGACAAGATATAATGATAAAAACATTAACCATAGAACCTTTTTAAATTTTGAACTTTCTGAGTGGCCCATGTATCATGACAATTCCAAGTCGACAGCACCTCACCTTTATTTATAAGATTTGTGCATAAACTTAATTATACACAACGTAATGGCTCCTGAATTAATTTTGTTTCATTGAATAGAATAAAATTTTAAAAATTTCTTACGTTTAATTTACACAATTCTTATATTTTACTTATATATATTTTTATTTTATAGCATCACTACTAACATATTAAGTGCTTTGCAGAACTTCTGATTACGCGGAGCTGTGGTGTTTGACATACCTTCAGTTCTTTCCCATTAAAAACAACATTGTGAAAAGGAGATGTTTTCGGCTCTGCGCTCACCACCTTGCTTGTATAACATAAGTGTGTGTAAGGCTTAATGGGCATATAAAAGATTAAAATAGTTTTTTAAATGTAAAGGAGTCATTTCAGCTCAGTCCTTAGGGTTTACGATGTATTTACATTTTGATTCTTTATCTAGGATAAATGTAGATGTCTATGGATCAGAGCATTCACTTACCATCAGGCGGACTGTGTGTTTGTTTGTTACCCGTATTCTATAAAAAAATGTTGATATTGTGTGACATAATGTGTGATTCATCAACTTAACCAAACGGATTGGTGTATTTTTTTGATTCGATTTAATCGGCATATTCACATTGATGGGATGTATTAGACTTTTAGAGCAATGACAATAATAAACGGCCCCCAGTCCCCGGCGGCCCCGCTATTCCTGGCTACGGTGGCGACCATGGTAACGGCGGGGCAGGGGGTGCTAAGAATCTCCGGTGGAGGTTCGGTTGCCACCTACGACGACTCGACCTGGCAACATACAACGCACGCACCCTGAGGACTGACGAGAAGATTGTGGAGCTGGAAGAAGAGATAGACAAGTTACGCTGGCATATTATAGGATTATCCGAAGTCCGAAGAGAGGGGGAGGACACGGTAATCCTCGAATCCGGCAACTTGCTCTATTACCGGGAGGGCGACCATCTGTCCCAAGGAGGTGTCGGATTTATCGTCCACAAGTCTCTCGTTAACAACGTTGTAAAGATTGAGAGTGTGTCGACGAGGGTTGCGTACCTTATACTCAGAATCACCAAACGGTATTCGCTGAAGGTCATACAGGTTTACGCACCAACCTCGGCACACCCCGATCAGGAGGTGGAGGAAATGTATGAGGATATCTCTAGAGCCATGCATTCCTCCAAAACCCAATATACGGTGTTAATGGGAGACTTCAATGCAAAACTAGGCACAAGAGAGAACGGTGAGCTGAAAGTAGGGAAATTTGGAATAGGGCAACGGAACCCAAGGGGCCAACAGCTGGCCGACTTCATGGAGAAAGAGGGACTCTTTATGATGAACTCTTTCTTCCAGAAGCGGCCCCACAGGAAGTGGACCTGGTCGAGCCCCGACGGTTCGACAAAAAATGAGATTGACTTCATTATGACGACCAGACGACAACTGTTCAGTGATGTCTCAGTGATCGCGAGGTTGAAAACCGGCAGCGATCACCGAATGGTTAGAGGCACACTGAACCTAAACGTTAAGTTGGAGAGGTCTCGTCTAATGAAGTCAACGCTTCGTCCCCCTCGTGCTCTAATCCAAAGTCCCGAAACCTTTCAGCTCGAGTTACAAAACCGTTTTCAGTGCCTAGAAGACTGCAATGAAGTGGACGATTTGAATGACAAGCTCGTGGAAACTGTCCATGCGGTCGGAGCTAAGCTCTGCAAGACCCGCCGCAGAAGAACACAAAAACTCTCCGATCACACTCTTAATCTCATGGCTGTTAGACGGGAGATGAAGCTACATTCTTCAACAGATTTGACAGCATACAGGCAACTGAACAGACAGATCTCCAAATGCATGCGGCGGGACTTACGCAACTTCAATACAGCTCGTATTGAAGAAGCGATCGAGCGGAACCAAGGCTCCAAAGTCTTTGCCAGAGATCTGTCTGCCAGAAAGCGCCAACTGTCAAAGCTGAAGACAGAATGTGGCAGCATCGTTTCCGGGGCACCTAAGATTTTGAGTGAGATTGAGAGGTTCTATGGGCAGCTGTACACGTCATCGTTGGAGCCGCACGCAAGTGTGAGTAACGATCCAAGAGCGAGTCTTATCCGACATTATTCCGATGATATCCCGGACGTCAGTCTGAGCGAGATTAGAATGGCTCTCCAGCACCTTAAAAACGGCAAGGCCCCAGGCGAGGATGGAATTACAGCGGAGCTTCTGAAAGCGGGTGGAAAACCGGTACTTGAAGTCCTTCAGAAGCTCTTTAATTCCGTCCTCCATGGTGGCATTACACCGGAGGCGTGGAGCAGAAGTGCGGTGGTCTTGTTCTTCAAGAAAGGCGACAACGCTCTCTTGAAGAACTACAGACCGATTTCCCTTCTGAGCCGCGTCTACGTGCTGTTTTCGAGAGTCATTACGAATCGTCTCGCGCGCAGACTTGACGACTTCCAGTCTCCCGAACAAGCCGGTTTCCGAAAAGGCTTTAGCACCATAGACCACATACATACCCTTCGGCAAATTGTACAGAAGTCCGAGGAGTACAATTTGCCACTATGTCTGGCGTATGTGGACTATGAGAAAGCCTTTGATTCCGTCGAAATTTGGGCGGTGCTGCAGTCCCTTCAGCGATGCCAAGTTGACTGTCGGTATATCGAAGTGTTGAAGTGCTTGTACAGTAGGGCTACGATGGCTATCCGAGTACAGAACCAGAGTACGAAACCTATCCAATTGCAGAGAGGTGTAAGACAGGGTGACGTCATATCCCCGAAACTCTTTACCGCTGCATTGGAAGATGTTTTCAAGCTTCTGGACTGGAAAGGATACGGTATCAACATCAATGGCGAGTACATCACTCACCTTCGATTTGCCGACGATATAGTCCTTATGGCAGAATCGCTGGAGGACCTAAGCACTATGCTCAATGACCTCAATAGTGTTTCCCAACGGATAGGTCTTAAGATGAACATGGACAAAACAAAGATCATGTTTAATGTCCATGTCACACCTATGCCGGTAGTTGTTGGGAACACTAAGCTCGAAGTTGTTGACGAGTATGTTTACCTGGGACAAATAGTCCGACTAGGTAAGTCCAACTTCGACCGAGAGGTCAATCGACGGATTCAACTCGGTTGGGCAGCGTTCGGGAAATTACGGCACATCTTCTCGTCAGGTATACCTCAAAACTTGAAAACGAGACTGTACACCCAGTGCGTGTTGCCAGTGATGACATACGGAACTGAGACGTGGTCCTTCACTGCTGGCCGGATGAGGAAGCTCAAGGTCGCTCAGCGAGCTATGGAGAGGGCTATGCTCGGAGTTCTCTGCGTGATAAACTCAGAAATGAGGATATCCGCAGTAGAACTAGAGTGACCGACATAGCCCAACGGATTAGTAAGCTGAAGTGGCAATGGGCCGGCCATATAGCTCGAAGAACCGACAACCGATGGGGAAGAAAGGTTCTCGAGTGGCAGCCTCGTACCGGCAGGCGAAGTGTAGGGCGTCCCCCCACTAGATGGAGTGACGACCTGGTAAGATATGCAGGAAGTCGATGGATGCAGGTGGCTCAGGACCGTGCTTTGTGGCATTCTTTGGGGGAGGCCTATGTTCAGCAGTGGACTTGTGAAAGGCTGTAATGATGATGATGATGATTAGACTTTTTGAAACTATTGTTATATAGTTAACTATTGTATTGTATAGTTGTTGATCTACTATTAGTTAGGTATGTGTGATTACAATGGTACCTATAACCTTTATATAACTTTTTATAAATAAGGACGGAACTTTACAATGATTAGATTATCCGTCTGACATTTCTATTAAAAATAATAGTAAGCACGAATTAAAAGTATTTACTTCTTTAATGTAATGTAATGTAATAAATTAGGTTATAGATAACATCATCCTGTTTTTGTCGACTACATATTTTTTATTTGTGCGGAATGTTTTTGCATAATAAAACCTTAAATAAAACTTACTTTTAACCAATTGAAGAAATATAATTTGATTTATTGTTATAGGGATTGTGCTTGTCCACCATCTCAGAAACACCGTTGTGGCGCTGCGGGTCCATGTCAGTATCTCAACGAACTGGAGCAAGCTGCCAGCCAACTGGGAATGTTGCCGCCCGAACATACGCGTGGCAGAGGCGGACAGCTGCTGCGGCATATCGTGCTTATTATTGCTTATAATCTCAGCATGTTCATCGTGAGTTTTAAGTTTTAATCTAATTTACAGTATTTTCACTTACATTTATAGTTTCACTTAGTATCACTCCATATTAGCCGGTGATGGGAACATTTGAAATTACAAAAGGCCTATTTTAACTAGAAAATAATAGTATTTTCAAAATAAATTATAAGTGTCTCGTACAAAAAAAATAATTTTTCGCAAAACTTTTTGCATGATGTATACTAAATAAAACTATGAAATTCTAACAAAACACACATGGGCGGCATGAGCGACATCAGCTACAACGTTTCTGGCGTTTATAAGTTTAAGGAACGTATGAAATTTATACTGTAATGATTTACTTAGGCTCTACAAACGTGTTTTTTCATAATGATTTCTTATATTTACGCGAACACTACACGTTAAATGAAATTAATCTTACGAATTTTATCGCGTCTCTACATAGTATAAAACAAAGTCGCTTCCCGCCGTATGTACGCTTAGATCTTTTAAACTACTCAACGAATTTTGATGCGGTTTCCATCAATAGACAAAATGGTTTATATGTATACCATACAAATAAAATTCTTCTGTCCGCGTGTATGTGACTGAACTTGTCCTAAACGGCTCGACCGATTTTGATGAAATTTTTTGTGTGTGATTAAGTTGATTGGAGTATGGTTTGATTCATAATTGGATCCGGTAGATGGCGCTGTAGAAATCACCGGGGACCGAGATGTTAGACGTTCCGATGTCATAGTTAGCCCGTCTACCTTGGTTTTTCAACATTAATTTTTGGTCCGATCTACGCAAAACGAGTTTACAGTAAAATCTTATAGTGTTGCAATCTTATTGTGGTATGCTTGGGTTTTTATTTAGTTTCTATAAAAGACCAAAAATGGCCGAGCTAACTATAACATCGGGGCGTTAACCCCCCCCCCCCCCCCCTCCCTCGTGACCATGGGTGCTGTAAAGATACAACATACCTAAACAGACTGATAATAGATGAACCAGTGATAATACAAAGCTTTTCTCTTTTGTGGAACCTACACGGAACTATTAGATTGCTGCCGCTTAGGGATTAACATAGTCAGATCTTTGCGAGTAAATATTTTCCATGTCTAAATTTAATTTCTTTTTTCAGGGAGTGACGTATATCACTTGGAGAGTATTAAGGAAAGATGAAAGTGGAGTATTCATTGAAATAGAATTCTTTGACATTGCTGTGAATAACGGGCAAGCTTTAATTATGTTTGTTCTATTTGGGCTCAATCCGCAGGAGATCTTACTGCCTGCCATCAGATTCCTGAAAAACAGATGGTACTTTCTCAATTTTGCTTATTCATATATTATATGTATAGTAACGACTCCGTGGCGCAGTGGCTTAGCAACGAGTTGCAGGGCTGAGGGCCGCGGACTCCGACAAATAATTGTTCCGGTTCTGGATGTTTGTTCTTGTGAAATTTATGTATGTAAACTGCCCCCACGATATAGGAGAAAATCCTAGTGTCGAGGTAATGTTTTAAAAAAAATTGCTTATTGTTAACTTAGTGGAAAAAAAATTGATAAATAAAAAAAACGAGAATGTAAGACAATAAATTGAAATTACACTAATTGTCTTCTGTGTTATAAAATCAGAAGAATGGAAGAAATAAAAATGAATAGTCCCATTTAGTCCCTTTGGTGTAGAAAGAATAATAAAAATAAAAGTAAAGTTGCAGCCTATTTACGTCCCACTGTTGGGCACAGGTCTACTCTCATCTGAGAGGGTTTTAGGGCAAGGAATTGTCCACCGCGCTGCCCTAATGCGTGTTGGCGAACTTCACATGTCTTCGAAATATTTTTTTTCTTATTTCTCTGACATGCACGTTTCCTCACGATGTTTTCCTTCACCGCCGAGCACGTGGTAAATCAGCACTTAAAATTGCAATTAATAATTTCATTGGTGCCGGCGGGGATCGAACCCGGATTGCTCGAGTACTGTGAAGCTTACAGCGAGCGCTAACCATCTGAGCTACCACGGCAATATATTAATAGGTTATATAATAATAGGTGTAAGAGATTTGGTACTGTGATCGACAACCCGGTTGTAATGCGAACTAAGCGTGGCGATTATGGCTATCCTACCTACAGTGTATGGAGTGTAGAGAGAAGGAGGACCATCTCTATATATGAATACATACATACATAAACAGTCACGCCTGTCACCCAGAGGGGTAGGCAGAGACTACGGACTTCCATTTGGCGCGATCCTGACACACCTCTCTCGCTTCCTCCACATCCATATACCTACGCATACACGCTCGTCGGTTAAGGGTACTACTAATCTGGCCCATTTTTAATGTATCGCCGATTTGGTCGATAAACCTTCGTCTAGGGCGGCCCTTCCCGACCCTGCCGTTCACTTCTGCAACATAAATTTGCTTTGTCACTCTTTCCTCGTTCATTCTTTCTACATGACCAAACCACCGAAGCATTCCTTTCTTAATCCTTGTCACAACGTCATCTGAATCTACACAACGTCATTTGAAGTGTCCCTAAAAACGTGTCATATGAGGGTGGTGCTGCAGTAGCATAGGATAAATTAAAAAAAAAGCACCAAAAGTAATTAGAATAAGATGGATAAATAAACAAGGACCGACCAATCTGCTTGGTTTTGTACTACGTAAATAGTTGAGATTTTGTATACTGGCATTTTACTAACTACTCTAATCATGAAATTTTTTAAATATTTGAATTCAGCTGACTTCACTCCGTTCACAACAGCTATCTTCATATCGTAGTTTTTCAGACGCCAGCGTTATTGTGGTAGGTTTTGGAACCTCTATTTTCAGTAAATAATAGGACACTTTTTCAAATTTCGCCCCTTATAAGATGGTTCTCCTTGTACTCTACACTCCATACTACAGTGAGAGAGGTGACCTTAATGGGCCACCGAAGAGAGGAGTTAACATAAATTATCAATATTATATAAGATAAAGTTAACAATATTATATAGATAGAGAACTATACCAGAAGCGATCTTGGATATATTTTATCTGAAAACCTTAGAGTACTTTATTGTGAAATCGAAAAGTTGTTAAAATAAAAGGTCTTCGATGATTATTTCATAAATCTAAATGACGCTACACTAATAGATCCCACCCAGGCAAAGTTACTTGTTACATATTAGCGTTGGTATTTTACAAACATCACGTTCTTACGTAGATAAGTAGATTTAATTGCCACAGATTCCATTGCAAATAATAATATGAATATACATATTTTGATCTCGCTGAAGTCTCAAGAAATTATGGTTGATATTTTGATTATGTCTGACCACACATATGTAGTGTACACTCAAGATCCAGCAGTGGAGAACGCGGAATAGGAAAGTCTTTTAACTTAGTTTAAAAACCTTGAATTGACTATAGAATATCACAAGCTTAAGTTAGCAAATAGAATGTTGTCTGAAAAGTTACTATATAAACTTTATCCCCTATTTTCCCCAATATTAAAAAAAATGAAAAAACGTACAGTCGAATTGAGAACCTAATCTACTTTGAAGTCTGATAAAAAGGTCCTTAATCGATATCAGCCATGGATCCATAACATACATCAGTCTGGAATCACATTTTTATAATAAAACTTATAGGCATGGCGAGGACACGGTAAGGCTGCCTCCTGTTGAGGAGCTCAGCTTTGAAACAAAGCACGTCTGCGAGCAGTTTATCACTCACCACCTATCTCGCTGTGAGGAGGCTATAGCTAAGGATATCAGGTAAACTTAACTTTTTCATTAGGTCACTTATCAGATAAGCCGCATGGTTGTTTGCCCCCTCTTATATAAAAAAAAAGTACGTAAAAGTAGTTAATTATTCTCATTCCTGTGCCTACAGCCTATAGACAAGATTAACAAAGCAAGAGCCAAGTGCGGTAAACCACGTAAGAAATTTAAAAAGTTAAAAAGTAAAGCTATGGCCTGTTTACGTCAAACTCCTGGGCACAGACCTCACATTTCTGAGAGGGTTTTAGTACAAGGGAAGGTTCACCGCGCTGCTCCAGTGTGTTTTATTATACTTATTATAAGCCAGTGCTTGACCACAATCCCACTGGGTAGTGATGATTGGTAATGAAGCCCTAGATGGTAAATCGTACTGTCTTAGCTTAACAAAAACCTATTCATTCTTGCCTTGATGACGTCCAAATTGTATTCGCGTCGAAAGACCGACGCCGGCAAATTATTCCACTCCTTTGCTGTACGCATTACAAAAGACGAAGCAAACAGTTAGGTTCTAATGCCTAGTTGATATCCCACACATTAGAACCAAACAATTTGCTAAGGAGTGAAGACCCTTCGACCGCCTCGTTGTTCTTTGGAAAGGAAAAGGAGGGATGAGGGCATCCACGACTTTTTCTGCCACCAGAGCGGAGCCTCTTAAAAGTGAAGTATAATATTTGACAAGTTTCATAGTGGGGAAATTAATTTGTTCGGAAAAAGTAAAGGTTAATGTTTCTTTCCGTACTTTTAATTATATCTTATATTAATAAGGTTTTAAAATAAATAAACCAAACCACAGATATTCATAAAAGTATAAAAATTTAAAATAAGTTGAAGAGCAAACCACTGAGGCAATGTTTTGTGTGTTAATATAATACTCTAGAAACTGATAAACTTTTATTAAAAACTAACTTCTCAATTAAATGACATTGTGTAACAAAACACTTTAACTCAGTGTCAGCTAGCGACATCTGGTGAGCAAAAAATTATTAACCCTCATTAAAGAATGTAATTCCTGTGCACACTCCGAAGTACATCCTATAGAATACCGAAAGACTGGCTGCTCTGCGCCTGTGCTCGAGGTTGACAAGATTGGTTTCAACCAAATAAGGTTAGCAATGAGACCGTTAGCACGTCTCTCCACTGAGTCCAACGTTGCTAGGCGGCACTTTGCAGCACCAGCCCATGTGTGACATCAGCATTCCATGCACAACCGGATTTGCACTTTATATGAGGCAAAAAGTGCACCCTTGCAAGGCCACCTAGTTTCCTTGTGGCTGCTTTGACCCTGGACTCAATGAACTGCCCATAAAAATCTCAACCCCTAACAACTGAAGGCAGTCAGTGTACTTCAAAGACACATTCCGGAAAGTAGGAGCCAGGGTGAGCGAGGTACTTTAGCGGTTAAAAGACACGCTTTTGTTTTGGAGGCGTTGAATCTCAAGAGATTGGCATCGCCCCATTCGGAGACTGCCTACAGTGAGATATTCGCACGCTCAACCATGGCTTCTTACCCACGACGGAACGGAGAAAGTGTATGCGTTTAGGGTGAGAGTTTGTTCGTTTGTTTTTGTATGCAAACGATGTTCCCATTTATTTCCAAAAGGGTTTGTGATTCATAGGTGATGGTTCTTAGATAGGTGTTATGGTGTTAACTCGCCAGGGAGCGCTGCAATTATTGAGCTATTATGTACTACGTATTAGAGGCGACATTGCATTTAGTTACACTGTCCCATTCAATTGCGGCGATGTCGCTGCACTTTACTTAGTCACTCGCTAGGCGTTAGTGAGTCGACACGAGTTGTGTTGATTATATAAAAAAAATAGATATTGCACAAATAATTCAAGAACTATTAACAAACAAAAACTAATGAATTCTCTGAAAAGATTTTAAAAAAATATTAAAAATTTTGAGAAAACCCACGACGGATGTTAAAATTGTAATCAAAAAGGATTAAATAAAATTTTTGAAAAACCCCCGACTAAAAGGAAGTAAAGCACGGAAGATAAAAATAAAAAGCGTTTTAAAAATAGTTAATTTGTAGCGAGGTCTGTCATAATAAACAACTAATTATGACTTCCCTTAGTTCTTCCTACCTTTGTGTACCTATTTGTTTGTCGTAGCGATAGACAGCAATAACATCAAATATTGACCTACATATTAGATAATTAAATTGCAATGTCAAGTAAATCCGACGTGGCTGCCATTTCGTGACCAGAAATGAACTAAAATTTTGCATTTTTATATATAGATACCGGAAATAAGCAGACCATTAATATACATCAGGAAGAAAGTTAAGTGAGAACGGACCCTTAGGTTATTAACAAGTCATCGTGCGCTCTGACTAGATACCGCGATAAAGTAACAGCTCTGTGAATGTGGCATCTCAATATTGTAGTGTGTATAAGACAATTTGCAAGGATGCTAGTGTCCGTGAAAAATTGTATATGTCAGCATCTTAACTATTACCCGATTAACGGCAAAATTTATTTTATGCTATGGCTTAGTAGTTAAGTTCATAGTTGCGAATGTATTCCAGAAATACTTAAAAATGAATAATTTATTGATAACGAATGTATCAATATATTTGTGTATATTATGTATAGGTTTTTCTTCTGAATAAATGACATATAAATGATAAGGCCTCATTTTTATCACTTTAATTTTTTTATACATGTCTAACTAATATTCACAAATTATTTAAAAAACATAGTTATATATATATATGGTGTAATCAAAATAGTGCCTTCTATTTCTATTCTACACGTCAACATATAAACAACTTTTACTATAGATCTATCTTCGAAATCGCAAGAAAAATCAGGTCTTCCATACATTTTGAACAAGTTCGTACGAAATTTTGTATGGAATAAATGATTTTTTTTTTGGTGACAAACGAGCACGCAGTCCGCCTGATGGTAAGTGGTTGCTGTGGCCCATAGACATCTACATTTATCCTCGATTAAGAATCAAAATGCAGATGCGTTGCAACCCCTGAGGACTAGATGGAATGCCTCGTTTCCAGTAAAATGGGTCTCCGGTTCTCTACTATCACACAAAACACAGCAGCGATACGCTGCTATTTTACACTGGTATTCTGTGAGAGCGTGGTCCTTCCCCGGTTGAGCTGACCCATTCGTGCTACAACTAAATTTATCATTATATCTATAGAAATAGATATAATGTATACACCGTTGTCTAGATTTAAGTATTTGATCCATAAACATTTCAGAAATGTGTAATAAAATTAGTAGATTTTATTTAATATTAATATTATATAGAATGTAAGCATTAAATCCACAAACTGTAGCTATATCAAATCTGGTTTTCCATGTTTATTTATTATCATATAATTATCTGTTTTCTTTTTTTTAAATCACTTCGCTATTTATGTAAGTTTTGGTTATCTGTAAGAAGATGAACACATAGCATGTAGTCGCATTGTTTAGTTATATTTTTGTTAGTATTGTATGCTGGTTCTATGAAAAATCATTTAAAAATTGTATAAACAAAATTATTGTTAAGTGAAATTATGTTTAAAAAAAAAGTCCCGCTGGGTTTCTTGCTGGTTCTTCCCAGGACAGGTATTTTCCGAACCAATGGTTAATAAAAAATGACTTTCAATAAGAGATCTCGTATGAAATATATTAGCATATGTTTATTATAATATAATAGGACAAACAAGTTTAAACAAATAAGACTGCAGATGCATTGTAAAGACTAAGATGAAATGCCTCACCTGTGACAGTAATTATACAGCGCCTATATACCGGCCTAATAGAGTTTAGTATTAAACCAGAACGGACTCGTAGGTAGAAAGCCAAGTAATTTCTCATAAGCGATTTGTAATCTTTTAAGAAATAAATAAGACCTTACACCTACACCTAAACCACATGCTCTTCTTTCAAATTTTCCATGGAAGATTCTTATGACAACCACGAATAAAGTGGCTTCTCTTACGGGGCTACCACAAAACGATAATTTAATGGGAGTACATGAATAATATTAAAATCTTTATTTCAGATGGAGGATGCGTACATACCGAGGCGTATTCAGGGGCTCGTGTCTTGTTCGTTGGCTCATAAGCTCTGGTCTCGCGAACGACGAGTATGAGGCTGTTACTTATGGACGACATTTACTCGACGGGCGACTCATTTCACACATCAACAACACGTATCACTTCACAAACAGCCCGTTGTTGTACACGTTCAACTAACTTACGAAGTTCGTAATTATTTATTACAGTAATGTGATGCTTAAAAATGGTAAGCTTTCGCTTACATCGATATAAGCAATCTTGAAATTAGATATTAAAATTGGGCATGGCATTAGACAAAAAAAAATATATTAATTGCAAAGAAATTGCGACATAATCATTAATATAATATATTAGTGATAGATTGCTTAAAATCGTATGTAATATTATTTTGTATCGGTTTACGAGAATAAAAAAATAGTCTTTGTGAAACATTTATTATCATAATTACAAAATTAAACAAACTTACCTTTGAAGTTCTATTGTATTTATACGAGGTACCGAGGTACTTACTCCGAGATATATTTACTTTGTACCTCCACAATCTTCGCGTTGTGTGTCCGCGATTATTAGAAAGCATAAAAAAATGGCAACTCTCGATTTGTTAATCATTCACTTCAGAGCTCAACTCTTAATTGGAGTAATTTTTTAATTAATTGAACCTGATTGGTGTTTCAACTTCACCTACTGGGTAATATATAACATTATAAAATGTTAGGGGAGACATATATCTCGGACTAAGTACTTCGTATAATTACAATAGAACTGCACTTAAGGTAAGTTCGTTACAATAGAACTGCACTTAAGGTAATTTAGTAATTATACTACTCTTACTTAGCCCGAGATATATTTACTTTGTAGATGTTTAGAGGTGACGTTGATCGGTCAGTAATATAACTAATCAATGTTTATTTTACAATTGAAATATTAATGATTTATTACAAAATACCTTATAATTATAAATTTCTAGTTATTTTAATTATTACAACTACTCCATATTTACATTACAAACTGGATTTGCAAAACAATAATTAAGATTTTCTTTCATTAAAGGTCTCTATTGTAATGGTTTGCAAATACACTCGAACCTGTAGACCAACCCGTTGTTCTAAAAATTGTATCCAAAGTGTCACAATTTCTATGTGCAAAAGAAGTGGACGCTTGTCTAGTAGATAGTAGATAGGGATGAATTTTTAAGTATCTATTCCACATTCTCCCATCACTTGTCGAATCCAACGACTTAGAGTTTGAGCACTGGCCCTCTATGCTCTGGTAGGGTTCTTATAAGAAATAAATAAATAATCTCGATTATTTGACGCTGTTTCTTAGTGTTTTGGTATATTTAATATAATATCTAAGTGTATTTACTGGATAGATATCCGGTTTTGTACTTAAAAAGGGTAAGTTAATTAACATTTCCCTTTTATCTGGAGCAGTAGTTTTTAACCCTTAAGTGCATGAAAATTTTGTTTTATCTGATTTAAACATATGATTTAGATGTTTAGGTCTTAAATCAGGGAAATATAAAGAAAAAAGTATGTTTATTTTTTTAAAGTAAATTTAATAAAAAAAGTTTGTATAATTTTTGATACATTATGCATCAACGTCATTTTTGTGTGGTAAGGTAAGCAACTTTACTAATGGAAATTATTAAAACAGTCGAGAGTCCTTTTTGCACATAAATAAACTTTGCACTTGGCACACCTTACACTACTCAATAATTTACATTGAGGCATCGTGCACCTTTTTCGATTTTGCTGTCGATGTTGGGCGTGATCGATACCATCAAGTCGCACACGGCATGACCTGTACTACATTTTTTTAGGTTCAGGCTCCTCAAAACTAGTGTTACTCGGACGGCCTCTTTTTGGTAGCAGCACATATGTATTAACATTACATAAATCATCTGCCACGTCAACTCTAAATTCCAACAAATAAAATTTTTCTTCTGTTCTAATAGTTTATTTTTATGAACATCTTTGTATAACACCTATGCGTTGATAATGGCCAAATCTAATAAATGATAAAAGATTCGCATATATCACTTCTTTGTTTTCATTCGGATTCTATATCTGCCTAAAAAGGAGTCCATCAGATCAACACCTCCCATATGGACGTTATACCCCCGAACAATTTTAGGACATGTTACTGTTTTTCGGAATTTCTTAGCTTTTTCGTATCTTTCTATTGTACCTACAGTTTGCGCTTCAACATACGTTGAAAGCAAGCAAATCTGCTTGTTGTCTTTCCAGCTTACAGCTGAAAAATCGATGCCGTCGAATCTGGTGACGCATTTTTCGTATGATCTAGGAGTTTATTTAGCAGGCAGTTTGCAATTCTTTTGATCTAAAGGAATGCTGGAAAACCTCTCATTTAGATGTTCTACCACAGGTCGCAGCTTGTGTAGTTTATGGTGATTGGGGTTGTCTTTTTTTATCAAATGTTTGGAGGTGTCATTAACCGATTCGTTGCGGCACGAATTTTCGACAACTTTTAGCTGTGGCGGCGAACAAATATTTCATGACACGCTTGGCGTGTCATGCGCCTATTGTGCCATCAGCCATGTGTAAAAGTAATGTTCCTTTTTACTTGTTTTTTACCTAATTAAGTTTATTTGACATCAAACATCAGTTACAAACGGAAGGATACTTGTTTTTAGTGGGTAACTACGTGTTTTTCTCTGTGTTCTCTTTGAAATTGAGAGTAAGTGACTTTTTTATGCAGAGATTACAAACCTTTTGTACTATTTTTTTGTTTTATAAAAAAATTATTTATATAAGCAGGTACAACTAAATCACCATGGAAAACCTTGGTCCTTATTAAATTAAATTTTCACCTAATAATAACATTTGTAAATATGAAACAATCAAGATCCTCAATTTGGAAAAAAATAAGGTTTATGATTCATTCATATTTACAAATGTTAAATATTATTCAATATTATACAAATGTAAAAGTACAGTCGATCTGAAAACGCCTAATTAGTAAGAATAGCAAAACAAGTGTTTTCAAAAGGAAACAAACGTCGGCGCTATACGGCGGCGGATTGACAAAAGACTATTTATTAGCGAACTTTTTTTATGCATGAACGGTTTCGAACTGTTTCAAGCAAAAATAAACCTTATACCATATCACAAGAGCACATGGTACTTCGTAGGTCTATTTGGTCATATGATAGTAATAAGACGACAGTTCAACCATTTTAAGCAAAATTAAACAATAAGACATTTGCATTGCTTAACAGGAGACTTGTTTTCCAGAAATTTATTTACAACTCGAGTTTGTGAGTGATCGCAATGAGTGCTATTATTTGTTACTTATTAGACTATTTTCCAACAACATGATAGAAAACCCACAAAGTAAAAAGAGTACCATGTACAAGTTAAAAAAAGGTTGTCAACCCCTAAAAATTTCAAATTTTCAAAATATCCAGAAACGAAGCCGCTGGCATGAACTACATGCAAAATAATGAATATTTTGTTGTGGATAAATTTTCCAAAAAAGCAATTTGAGCGAGTTATAACGATTTTTAAAAAGACACGACTCGCGTGTCATACGCCACACACATTTAATGTCATACTCTGTATAATTGGCATGAATCCGTATTTTTTATTCCAGTAAGCTCGTATATTTGGATAATGAAAACCTGACATATAGATATTAATTCTCAAGTACTTTTGTAACTCTAATTTTGTGATTGGATCTGGTCGGTCGGGATTTGTTTGGATTGAATATCGAGTAGATTCTATTACAATCATATCTAAAAAAAATCAGGAGTAAAAAAATAACTGAAAAATTGATATGGAGTTCCTAGGGCCATAACTTTAGGAGAATGTTCTGTCTCGTTCTAAAAACGAATGCTATCTTCACAAAATTCTAAGGAACGTTTCCTCTATGCGAGTCTAACAATTTCCATCATAATATGACGCCTGTTGGGAATATTTTGTGCACAACTAGATCTTCATTCACTAGGGGAGGACGAGATTATTTCGTATATAATTTTCGTCATTTACAAGAGGTGGATCATCTTCGTCCTGGATTTGAAGATTAGGGGAATCACCGGAACCGATTTGTTCTTCCTCGTGATTTTCTAAAGCAGCACAAAGTTCATCAATATTTGGGTAATAATTCATCATCAACAGACTCTGCTTCGTCCTCGGATAGAAATCCACTTTCCAATCTTGCTAAAAAGTCTTTGATCTCATTATCTTTTATTTTTCTTTTTGCCATGCTGCAAAATTGAGGAAAAAACATATTACAGTCACATAACATACAAGCGTACTATAATAGCGAAAATGTACAAAAGGGAGCTACTAACTGCATATAACATTTTTGATACTTAGTTGTATGTAGTTATCTTTTTTTTTAAATTAATTACTAGTAATATTCACTTCAAATATATGTTTAATAGTGAAACATTGCTCTTACCTGTATTTGTAATATATTTCCGGGTCAGCTTTTGTATTAAAATCATCAAAAATTTATAATCCCATAAAATAGATTATGACAGACAAGAAAAAAGTTTTCATAGTTACCGCCAAATTACTTAGAAAATGGCCATCGATTACTTAAACATTCTAAAAGATGCTTAGGCAAAGGACATTTTTAACATGCAGCCTAGTTGCGTGTACGTAGTTAAACAAAGTTATCAATCGATTATCTCATCGTATCATTTTTGATACTATGAGATAATCTCGATTTATCTAAGGTGTTATCTTCTTCCACTATTGAGCTTTCAATACCTTGAAAACAAATAATTTACTTAAGATAAAAGAACACTTAAAACAGTGACCCACTGTAACAGGTGTAGAAAGGTAGTATCATATTAATTTTGGTACTGATATTACAGAATGACTATTACAACCAAGGTCACCAACCTTGAATTGTTATTTTTAATTCTGTATTATTTGAACCAAGGTAACTGACCTTATTTTCTTTATGTACATACTTAAAGATATACTAAAAATATAACAGCAAACGCCAGAGAACTTCTCTGTATTCACAATAACCTATAGTAAAAACCAATTCAGAGCGTGTTAGTAATATGTCCCACATATTACCGACAAGTAATTATAATCACAACTTGTGAACAAATTGCCCACAAAGAGCCCTTACCTTCAGCAGGCACTATAATTTCTTGTTCCTGATTTGTTTCTGATGTTTTTCGATGTCACTATTAT